TTGACATATAGCTAGCTTGACAGATAGATAGCTTTCCAATAGGCTTGCATGACAAATAGATAGCTTTGACATATAGCTAGCTTGACAGATAGATAGCTTTCCAATAGGCTTGCATGACAAATAGATAGCTTTGACATATAGCTAGCTTGACAGATAGATAGCTTTCCAATAGGCTTGCATGACAGATAGATAGCTTTGACATATAGCCAGCTTAACACGTAGATAGCTTTCTCAAGTATAGATTTCGTGGCAGGCGCAGCACTTTCGCAAGCACTCTCTGCGAGCTGGGGGATGGCAAGATGCAGAAAACGTTGGCGCTGTGCGTGAATTGGGCTTCCGGACTGTGCGCAAACCACCTCGGCTGCGACGCCTGTACGGAGGCGGTCTCGGAACGGTCTCGGAACGGGTTCGGAACGGGTTCGGAACGGGTTCGGAGACGGGCCCATTGGCACGGCCGCGCGAAGGTTTCGCAAGGTTTGAATTGCGTGGCAGGCGCAGCACTTTCGCAAGGTCAAGTATAGATTTCGTGGCAGGCGCAGCACTTTCGCAAGGTCAAGTATCGATTTCGTGGCAGGCGCAGCACTTTCGCAAGGTGCTGCGTCCACTCTCTGCGAGCTGGGGGATGGCAAGATGCAGAAAACGTTGGCGCTGTGCGTGAATTGGGCTTCCGGACTGTGCGCAAACCACCTCGGCTGCGACGCCTGTACGGAGGCGGTCTCGGAACGGTCTCGGAAACGGTCTCGGAACGGTTCCGAACGGGTTCGGAGACGGGCCCATTGGCACGGCCGCGCGAAGGTTTCGCAAGGTTTGAATTGCGTGGCAGGCGCAGCACTTTCGCAAGGTCAAGTATAGATTTCGTGGCAGGCGCAGCACTTTCGCAAGGTCAAGTATAGATTTCGTGGCAGGCGCAGCACTTTCGCAAGGTCAAGTATCGATTTCGTGGCAGGCGCAGCACTTTCGCAAGGTGCTGCGTCCACTCTCTGCGAGCTGGGGGATGGCAAGATGCAGAAAACGTTGGCGCTGTGCGTGAATTGGGCTTCCGGACTGTGCGCAAACCACCTCGGCTGCGACGCCTGTACGGAGGCGGTCTCGGAACGGTCTCGGAACGGGTTCGGAACGGTTCGGAGACGGGCCCATTGGCACGGCCGCGCGAAGGTTTCGCAAGGTTTGAATTGCGTGGCAGGCGCAGCACTTTCGCAAGGTCAAGTATAGATTTCATGGCAGGCGCAGCACTTTCGCAAGGTCAAGTATCGATTTCGTGGCAGGCGCAGCACTTTCGCAAGGTCAAGTACAGAATTCGTGGCAGGTGCAGCACTTTCACAAGGTCAAGTGCAAAATTCGTGGCACGCGCAGCACTTTCGCAAGGTCAAGTACAGATTTTGTGGCAGGCGCAGCACTTTCGCAAGGTCAAGCACAGATTTGGTGGCAGGCGCAGCATTTTTGCAAGGTCAACTTTCGCAGCCGGGGCTCGAAAATCGCAACTTTTAAGTACGAAAGTAGTACGCGAAGTCAACTTTCGCAGCTGGGGCTTGAAAATCGCAACTTTTAAGTACGAAAGTAGTGCGCAAAGTCCACTTTCGCAGCCGGGGCTTGAAAATCGCAACTTTTAAGTACGAAAGTAGTACGCAAAGTCCACTTTCGCAGCTGGGGCTCGAAAATCGCGACTTTTTAGTACGAAAGTAGTACGCGAAGTCCACTTTCGTAGCTGGGGCTCGAAAATCGCAACTTTTAACTACGAAAGTAGTACGTGAAGTCCAGTTTCGCAGCTGGGGCTCGAAAATCGCAACTTTTAAGTACGAAAGTAGTACGCGAAGTCAACTTTCGGGGATTGAACATCGCAACTTTTAAGTGCAGAGAAAGATGGGTAGATAGATAGATCAATAAACAGATATAGAGATAGCTAGAGAGATAGATAGAAAGAGAGAGAAAGAGACAGAGAAACAGAAAGAGAAAGAGAAAGAGAAAGAGAAAGAGAGAAAGAGAGAAAAAGAGAGAGAGAGAGAGAAGCAAGGGGCCAAGGACAGTTCTCCAAACTATAGTTGTTCACTGCTTTGAAACTTCCGCCCCCCGGCTCTGCCGGACCTTACTTGTATCAGTATATATATATGTATTGCACACAACTTGCATATATGTATGCGGGAGTCGTCCAAAAGGTCCTTATTATATACGTACACATACCTGACGAATACACATATACATGTACATATATATACAAATATATACACATGCAGCCCATTGCTCGACCCTGGTTTTACTGCCTTTTGGGGATGATAAATCTACGTAGAAACTAGAGATTTGAGTTCTCAAAATGTCCAGTTCTGGGTCCCCAAAGCCTCATAATTTGGCGCAAGGAGTCTGTCCCAACATGATACCCTTTCCAAATAGGATTTTACTTCAACTAGAATCATAATGTTGAACATCATTGACTTGGGATATTGTTTGCAAAATGTGTGTTTGTTTTGCAATTACAGCTCAAATAGACAAATCCTTTGTAAACATAATTTCGGGTAGATTCCAATCAATATTTATCAAAATAAGTTAGATACGAGTTTATTCCAAAATAGAATATAAGTGTTAAATGTAACCTGGCACGAAAGCAATTCAGTTGGCTTTTGATAATAACAACTAAATAGAAATTGCTTCTCAAATGCATTCGTATTAAATATGGCTCAACATATAAGGGACTTCTACAAGGAACTTCGAAATACAATTTTGTTTTGTTATAAACCCCCGCCTCGGCCAGTCCGCATTCGGCTGGCTTTGAGGTATATGTATGCCGCGCTTTTGTTTGCCTTGAAGTGTTGTTATGAAAGTGAGTGAGTCGCCGTGAGCTGGTTTCCAAGCTAGAGGGGCGGTTTCGCCACACCTATTTGTGGAAGGATTGCGCTACACCTTTGCGCGCCGGGTACTTGCAGGCTGTTCGCCAAGATCTTCCCCACCCGCTGGTAGAGGGCCCCCTTCGAATGATGCTGATGAGCTACCGCCTGGGGAGGTGCCATGTCCGCGCGATTCCACCTGAATTCACGGGCCAGAACGAGAGCCGCAGAGAGTAAGGGATTTGACCAGTTTCCACAGTTCAGGGGAATTGGACAGGTTTTTGGAGGGATTTGGGGGTTGGGTCGAAGTCAAAGGATCATGACCCTGGCGGTGCTATCGCTGCCAGGGACTTGAACCAGGACCTCCGTAAGGGTGGATGCGTCACTGCAGAAGGATGTCTTTCGCCACGGGGCGTCACCTCAGTAAAACTAAGAAACTTCGAGGCCTGCGCGGACCACTCCGTCCGTGCTCAACCTGCGCCTGCCAGCTCACACCAAGGAATGGAGGTTTGCTTCTCTCCGCAAGAGGCTTCCATTCTCCTCTAAAAGCCCTGGTCAGGATGAGGCGTTCGTTCTGAGCGGGAGTGGGAAGCTGCTCTCAGCTGCGGGGACGCGGCTTGGGAATTCTGGAGCACTGATGCGGAAATGCTTGGGGCGCTTGCCCAGCTCCGCTGTGGGGGGTCGGCCAGCCCCATCTGGAAAGAGAGTTGCGCCGTGCTCTTCGTCGGCGCCGCGAGGCTCAGCTGCAGCTGGAGGCAGCTGGAGCATGGATTTTGGCCGCCGGACGGACCAATTTCGGAGTGGGGTTGGGGTGGGGTTGTAAAGGATTGGGTCTGACCACTTCCCGGCCCTGGAAGCCGAGGCGAAGTTACATGCTAGCCCTTTTTATATCAGTTGTACTTAAAGTCCTCTTTGTACAAGAAATCATGGTTCATTCTATCACAAAGCAGAGGTAATAGATGAGCAAATGTGGACAAGCAGTTCAAGGGGCGGGGGGGAGCGATGTGCGAACATATATGTCTATACACACACACACATATAGTACCCCTAATAATCCTACGCCCCTGCACACATTCTATAAAAAAAGTGTTTTTGAGCTTTACTACCTGTTTAGCTCCTGGAAAAAGGCAAAAATACTCATAGCTTACATGAAGCAGACCGCGCACAAAAAACACTTGATGATTGGCATAAACAACTTGAAAGTGTTTAAGCACTTGAAAGTTTTTCCACTGGATGGAATATTCAAAGTTGACAATTATACAGAAAACTTTCCTGAGAATCGTCCATCCTGGCCAAGCCCAAACAACATTCAAGTTCTTCTAATACTTAAAAGTGATTTACCACTGGACTGAGGATACAATATTGAGGATTGTGACAACAATTTTCCTGAGAATCATCCATCCTGGTCAACCCCCAAAAGAACCAAGTTGCTTCAATTTCGAAAGCTTTTACCACTGGATTGAAGATGCAAGATTCAAATTGTTCACAGAAAGCTTTTCCGAGAATCTTGTCCTTTGAATGCAGAAATTGCGAGAACTTAGAGGGTCGCAGATTAATTGCATATGACTGCAGATGGGTGCGCATACTTGGTTGCAGAGGTATGTATTGAACACCTACAGAATTGGGACAACCCTGGAACTGTAAGCAAACAAGTATGGCATTCAAGATTCAAGATTCCACAAAGGTAAATGTCTCAGATTCTTGAGTCTTGAATCCCAGAATTTTAAAACGCTTTCATAATACCAGCGTTATCCCAATACTCTGAGATGGATGCAGACTCTGTCAGATAGCAGATGTTGATATCTGTGTTTCATATGCCCCCCCCCCCCCCCCCCGCCCCCCCCCCCCCCGCCCCCCCCCCCCCGCCCCCCCCCCCCCCCCCAAATTTTGCCACAAAATCAACGAGGCAAAAACACCCGAAGACACAGCTCAAGCTCACCAAACCAGGGTCCACGGGGGGGGGGGGGGTACAATGAAGATCTAGAAATATATATATATATATATCCTATATCTGTGCACAGGCGAACCTACATACGCACAAACATCGAAGCTTATGTGTTGTTTTTGCTTGCTGTATGTAATATGTAGACATGGCAAGCCATAACACCCGACATTTGTGAGTGGGGAAGGCTGTTTGTGGGATGTTAATGCTGTCACCTCTTGTAACTGGTTCTTGTTCTGCAGGCAGGGATCAATGCAACGCTGACGACTTGAAGCAGGCCATCAAGTTGGCTATTTTGCCGCAAGCTGAGTTTCAGGCAGTCAGACCCTCCGCAGGCACTGGCCACACTGGCGAAGGGTGAGGGCTGAGTAAGGAAGCAGCACTTGGTTAAGACACTGTTGACACTTGGTAGAATCATTGAAGGGATAATTCAGACAACCATGATGAGAGTCCTTGCAAAGGGAGCCAAGACCATGGCCCGCATCTTGGGAATTTCGACCTGGCACATCGCTTGTGCATGAGGCCGCGTATCAGAGTCCAGGAAGCCCAGATGGAGGAGGAGGTTGAGGTGGGGATCGCCTAAGTCCGATGTGTGGGGCACAGCAGTCCAATTTAGGCGAACTGATCTGGATCTGTTTTAAGATGCGGGGGGGGGGGGGGAGCGTTTGGATTTTCTTTAACTGATGCGTGGCTTGTTGGGCCGTGCCCAGCGCCGTCCAGTGTAATGAAGGGACCGCTTGCAACTTAGGCTCGAATCAGTTGAGCCCAGCTGCCACACATCCAACGAAAATAGGAACTTGTCAAATCTTGCCAAACGTGGTGCGCTTATGGGCGGCTTAAGTATCAAATTTGCAAGTGGCTCAAGAAGTTGACACACGCTCGCGCCAAAGGCTGGCCTCGTCTTGCGCGAAAGCAGATTGGTTTAGGTTTTAGGCTGTCAAGTTTTCGGGCTACCCCAACGTACACTTAAGCCAGGTTCCTTTTTGAAAATAGGGGCAAGCCAGAGGTGTGGCTTTCCTTTCAGTGTCCCTTTAAGCCCAGTTCAAACGGGTCCTATAGCGCACATCTTCATGGAAGATGAAACCTTTCACAGTTGTGTGGCGACTTGGCAGGAAGAGGAGGAGCCACCACCGCCACCGCCTCCTCCCCCACAGGACGACATGGATCCTGAGGAGCGGTAAGCAAGTCCCCTGCCAGAGTCGTCCTCTTGGGACCGCGGTGCGTATGTCCCCGAAAGACAGGGCCTGCTAAGCTCCCATGTTTCAAGGTTTCCCAATGGGCGGGAAAAGGGAAACAGGGCTGATCTGGAGATCGCCAGGGTAGCGGAGTTGGCTTGTAGGTGAGTTGTTGGGTGGTTCCTTTGAGGAGCGCGTGCGAATCGTGCAGAAAGAGTCAACGCAAACCGTCAGAAGTGCAACAGGGTTCTCAACAAAGCGCTGCCCCACAACCCCTGTTTAGTATTTTAGTAGGCTGCTATGTCAACTATAGGTGTCCAGCACACCTAAGCACTGCCAAAGCCAGCACCCACTCCAAGTATGCAGTTCTAAGGTCATAGCAAACATGAGAATGCCTGTACCAGTTTTGTCTTTCTCTCCTTTCTTCCATTATTCCCCTTATTTCTTTCTTTTTTTCTTCCTTCCTTTCATTCTTTCTTTCTTCCTTTATCTTTTTCTTGTCTTCCTTTCTTTCTTGCTTTCTTTAATCCTTTCTTTCTTCCTTTCTTTCTTTCGTTCTTTCTTTCTTTCTTTCTTTCTTTCTTTCTTTCTTTCTTTCTCTCTCTCTCTCTCTGTCTTGTTTTTTTTGGTGGGGGAGGGGGGGAGGGTTGACATCTCAAAATGTGGCTTTGGACCATGAGCATTTGCGTTGTCCATGTTGTTCCTCAACCTTTCAAGGCCACCACTCACACCCCTTCGCGAGGACATGCCTCCTCCTCCAGAGGCGTTTGGTCGAGTCGGTTGTCTGACTCAAAGGTCGGCCATGGGTTTCTGTGGCAGTCAATTGCTGCCCTGCCGATTATCAGGGACTCAAAACCGTTGCTTTTAGAGGAATCTCCTTTTGGGGGGGCAGAGTGCATGTTCATTTGCAGGGGAGTTAGGCACAGGGATGCACATCCATGGGCCTCCAGTCTGAGGATTGAATCTCCATTCTCTTCAACCATGTTTTTGTCCAGGCCAATGATTTGCAGGTTTTTGGAAAATTTCTGAGTGCCTTGTTGCGGAACAGTGTGCATCCGTGAAGGTGGACGTGGCACCCTCATACTCGGCCCTGGTGGGTATAAATGCATTAACTTAGCCCAAGGGGGCTTGGAGATACAAGAATGCACACCAAGGAAATACATTGATCATTTATTGTTTTGGTGGACGACTTTCTTTAGATCATCGGTTCCTTGAGGGAAAGTTCCAGGTGGGAGTTTGGGAGCCGGGGGCAACTTTGAGCCATGGCCCCAGCGCCGTGTGAACAAGGCCTTTTGTGCCAGGACCAGGAGGAGGAGGAGCAGGACGAGGAGGAAGATGATGAGCCTGACCAAGACGAAGACCAGGCAGCTACCCAGGCTCTCGGGCCATGTGTTCTTTTGGGCTGCGCAGGAAGATCAAGATCCCGATGTGCCGGAAGAGTTCATGATCGACCCCGAAGGCAAGCGCAAACTGGGCAAAGGATCAAGATGGCATGTGGCAAACGTGCTGGTCAGGCGCCGTTGTTGATCCTGATCTGCTCAAGTTTCAGAGCCAGCAGAAGAAGAGCGGTGCCAAGCTGAGAGATTGCGGGCTTCAATGCTGAACGCGGGGCTCTGTCAATTCAGGAAGAATGCGCCTGCATCACCCACAATCAGGAAACTGATTTGCACAAGGGATAACCTCAAAACCTGCCCCGGCAACCTTCCCCACCATACGTTCTTGAGAGCCGCAGCTTGCAAATGTGTGAGGCCGAAGTGGAAAGGGAAACAAGATTTACTCTATGGACCGTGGGCGTTATGTGAAGGCCAGCGCAGATGGATTTCCGTGAAATGCCACGGATTTGGAACCGCATGAGCCAACGATAAGTCATGGTGGCTTGAGGGCTCTTTGCGACTCACTGTGCAAACTCTTGATCACAATGCGTGTCCACATGCTTTCTGCTCGTTCAGGCCATGCTTCCAAAGGGTGGCGATTCCAAAAGCGGGAAGATTGCGCTGGATGCGACGCTGAGAAACGCCGCGACCTGGGATGCCGTCGATGCAGTCAACAGACCTGGGCTCTGCGGCTCACGCCTGGGCGGAAGCTTCTGCTGTTCCCAGGCCGTGGTGTATCAAAAGATGAGGCGAGAGGAAGCCGCCAAGAAGTGCAAGCCAGAGGAGGGCAGTACTCGGTACCCGGTTACCCCCCCCTCAAAATTTGGGTCAAGATGTTATATTGTTGTGGCTTCGGCTCAGCCGCCAAACACAGCGTCAACTCCAGAAAGAGGGAGCTCAGTCACCTTGCCTGGAGGGCTTCTTGGAAAAATGCTGTTTGGTTTGTGATCCATCGGAGCTTTTCAACTGAGTGGCATTGTGGCAGGCTGTGAGAGCAGTGCCTTTTGGTGAGTGGGTGTGTTTTTGTACAGCCTTGGACAGGAGCTGCGAAATGTTTACATCGAGCGCAGCGACATTTGGGTGAAGAAGATGGCTCGTAAGGCCTGAGTGTTGGACGGTGCCGAATGCAAGATTTCGCCTTGGCGACTTGAACAATGTGGTTGTTGCTTTTTTTAATGCTCGGGCACAGGATCCGGTGTTTTTTTTTCCTAGGGCCGGTATTTTTACTTGGGCTGGTCCCCTGGTTGGTTGGTTGGTCGGTCAGTCTGGCTGGCAGCATCCCCGATATCACCAGCCCTACTTGGCCCTGGGGCCTCCTATTGGCCCTGAGTTCATGGCAGTTGGGAGTTGCTGGGGGCTGGGTTAAGTTCGGGGGGTTTTGGCTGGCTTAGATCTTCACGAGGTGGGTCTTGGGGTGGCTTGGGGTTGATTTAGGAGAAGTGAAGGGCTGACATCCAGGCTGCTTTTGGGCGGGTTTAGGGTTGACTTTGAGTGGAATGGGTTGGCTTGGAGCTGATTTGTGTTAGGTGTGCTAGTGGTTTAGCAGCGGCTTTAGGGTTGCTTTAGGGCGTGGTTGAGTGAGTTGTGGGCGAGTTTTGGTGGTTTGGGACAACGCTCCAAAACCGATCCTAGCACACCCAACACAAATCAGCTTCAAGCCAACCCAAACCCACTCAAAGTCAACCCTAAACCCGCCCAACAGCAGCCTGGATGTCAGCCCTTCACTTCTCCTAAATCAACCCCAAACCACCCCAACACCCACCCTCATGAAGATCTAAGCCATCCAAAACCCCTCCAGGTCCACGTGATGCTGGTGATGCTGGGATGTTGCCAGCCCTGCGGAAAACCAGACCTAGGAAAAACCAGTTCAACAAAAAAAAGGAAAAGAAACACCGCTACCTAGGGCGCGCTGTGCATGCGGCCGGTTTTTGTGCAAGCCAGACACGTGAGATCAAAGGATAGCCGTGTGTGCTTGCCTCTCAGGCAGGTGCCCTCGTGATCTTCGTGGTTGATGCCAGTGGTCGCGAGCTTACCTCTGCGACAGACCTTCTTGGAGCCATTTGTCTTGGAAGGATTTTGACAAGTCGTCTGGGTGTTGCCACACATGCAAGCGCCTGGTTGTATTTTGAACCGGTCTGCAGGGTTGCGAGGGCCCATCCAAAGGTTTCTGGATGACACCTCGACCAGCTGGGTACAAAAGGAGTTTGACGCATTTGCCATTTCATGTCCCCATCCGACCTTTTCGTCTTTTGGAATCCCAATGTGTGTCCATTTAGTAAATTAGACATGGACCCACAAGGTGAGTTTTTGTCTTTTTTGGTTCGTTTAGATGAGCAACTCCAATCAATTCATGCCTGATCCACCTAAGGGTTCATTTCCGCTTCAATTTCCTACCCACCAGTGAGTTGGGTACTCCCCCCTGCTTGACAAGCCCTCAATTTTGGGTTTCATGCAAATGGAATGTGTGTGTGTGTGTGCGCGCGCGCGTGTTTTTGCCTAGACCTGGCAGATGCCTTCGCCCTGGCAGGGCATGGTTGGGTTGCTGGATGGCTTGTTAGACGGTTGGTTGGTCGGTCGGTCGGTTGGTCGGTCGGTCGGTGCGCTTGGTTGCCCTCAACCGACCGAAGACTGCAACAGCTCCGATTCGGCCAAGCATCTCCGATGCCTTAGCCAAGCCTAAGCAACAGTCCAAGCCCGCTCTCATTGAAAGCCAGAAGCTTCCGCCGTGAAGTCTTTCCCTCAAGAACCCCACGAAAGCCACAAACCTGGCGAGGTAAAGCCCTACAAGCATCCCCAAGAGCCTAAACCAACCCGAACCACCCCAAACCATGACAGTACCAGTTCAAGACCCAGCCAGAGTAGACTGAACCACCAGAACCCTGATTCGTTTCGAAGAAAAAAGACATGATAGCTACCTTGTGTGAGGCACTGAGCGGTGCCAGGGTTCTGGCCCTGCCAGGGGTAGGCAAGAAACAAACTAGCTAGCCAAGGTAAGTTCTGCCAGGCAGAAGATATTGGGTCCATGTCCGTGTCCTTTTCCCAATTCCTGTACACATGGGGTCGCTAGCTGTGACTCTGAACCCAAATGGATCGCCGAGGTTCCATGGCACTGAACCGCATGCAGAATGCCAAGGGCGCTGTGCTGCGCTTGCTGGAGAACGCATACCAGAACCGAGACCAGGCACGGATTGCGAACCAAGTCACTGCGTAGACAGATCCAATTTGGAGCCGTTCCTCTTTGTTTCCTTTCAACACCCATGTTTGCAGAAAGCTCAGTCTGTCCTGAAAGAATCCCTTAATTGGGAGGAGTTCCTTCCAAATCGAATCCCAGTGTGCCCCTTGAAGCAAACAACATCCAACGCAGGTCGCCAATTTTGAAGATAGACCGAAAAGGATGCGTTGGTGACACAGACTTTGGCAAGATGGCCTTGTGCCGTACTTCCCGCTTGCTCCTAACACTTGTTGCGGAATGACATCGTGTATCCAATGGTTTGGCATTAAGACCTTGGATTGCACCTTTGGAACACACAAACCCTTAGCATGTATCTCTGAGTCCTTTGCAAGCCAGCCTCACGCCACTTATGAGCAGAACCTGTTTCTTTGCCAGGTGGCCTTGATTCCCTGCCGCGGCATCTCTGCGGAGGCAGTTGCTGCTCTTCTTGGCCATGCGCCAATTCGTTTGCTTGGCTAGGAAGTACCCTGACTCCGTAGAGTTTTAGACCATAATAATCAGGGTTTCTGCCATGGAACAAATGACCACCCCCCGCAAGGATCTCGTGGCATACCAGCAAATGGCTGGGCGAACGCAAGATGCGGAGCATGGCATTCAGAGAAGTTGTTCAAAGACCCGACCCATGCCAGCTCTTTCATGCTCTTTGGCCGAAGCACGGGAAATGATGTGCAACGCATGGACAAGCATTGTTGCATTTGTTGACAGGTGTTGGTCCAGCCAACTTCTTCTGTTGCTCGTGCCAGTGGCAGCATGAAGGCAGGGCCTAGGATCAACCAAAGCTGCCTAAATCTCAAGCAGGTCGGAGGGCAGTCGGATGGGCAGTCAAATGCCAATCGGGAACCCCGTCGACAACACAAGACTTGCTTGGCTCAGAGCTTCAATGGAGATGAGATGAGTCTTGCAAAGCCTGACTGTTTGCCAGGTCTTGCCATGTGGCGGAGGAACACCATTGGCACATGCTTTGTCGCAGGCACTGATTGTCATTTGATCTAGAGTAACAGTGCGCACCTGTCTGATTTTAAACTTTATTGTTCCAGACGTCAGTCTTTTTGGATATTGGATTGCAGTGTCGAGCTTGCGAGTCTGTGATCAGTTGGGACAGAGAGGCGTGTGCCATGTGAGCTCATGTGGTCCAGTGGTCGGGCCGTCAACACGCTGCGGCACCTGGCTCAAAGTGGCAGGCCATTATCCTGGGCAGCAATGCAATGAAGAGCTCAGACGTGGGACAGGCCGCTGCATGGAAGAACCCACCTAAAGCGTTGGCAGGCTGAAGTCTGGGGGCATGAAGGCCCACACAGGGATATTGTTTTCAGGGGAACTCCTCAGACAATGGTTGGCCTGCATAGTCCCGATATGAATGATGCCTACCAAAGGGTTCCCAATCAAGCATTCTACCCATGTGGCTGATAGGTCTGCGTTGTTGCCATCACCGACGGCCGGGCCAACGTTCCCCTGGCAGTCAGTGAGGGTGACCAGAATGCTCTGGAGCGCCATGTTGTGTCGTGCTTGATTGAGAATTTGGTACCTGGTTAACTTTGATTCATTGAACACATACTGTTGCGTCAAATACGTCGGTCAGTTGGTGCGCGTCCTGGGTGAGGTGATTCCGCTTACTCGAAGCGCTGCAAATATGTCTTGCGCCGCTTTGTTGCCATGCGTGCGACTACTCTTCTCCCGCAACGAAGTGCCTTGCAAGGACGAAAACGGGAAAATGAGGAAGATGCCAAAGGAAGACTTGCAGGACTTGTGACAGTGCATTCGCCAGCTGAACTGATCAGAGCCACAATCAGCACCTCGGGAGATGCAGGTAGACTCCTTCAATACCAGGTGGCTGAGCCTGAATCGACTCGCATGATTCTTTGACCATCAGGAAGAAGCCTATGTTCTCGCCGACAAGATGAGAGCATTGGGTGTCTGCCTCAGAGACAGGAGATTGATCCTTCTGATTTGCATCTTCTTCACGAATGGCGTGGTGCTCCCATCATTTTTAACACTAGGAGTTGATCCCTTCAAGCGCTCGATGGTTCCGGAACACAGCCTTTTTCATGTGGCGGAAGGGCTGTTTGTGAGCCTTTCTCATTGGGACGCACTATTGAGTCATAGGACATAAATATTGCTGGTATGGTATGCCTCGTTTCGGCAGCATGTAAAGGCCACCCAAAGTCGCCTGCCTTCCCAACAACGAGCGGGGACTGCCCACGTGGTGTGTGCAGCCTATGTTTCGCACAACGTCGTCCGTCGTTTTGATGCACGCTGCACAGCTTTTGATCTGGAGATGTGAATTGGCATTCTGTGTCTTGTCATTTACCGAGGCTTCAAGTTTCTGCTCATCGACACCGAGAACAAGTATGTGTCGTCCGGAGTGGCGAAGACGCTGGTTGATCGTGCTCAAGGAAGGTGCCCTGGCTGCGTACAGAGACATGAGAGCCAAGACCAGGTTGCCTAGCGCCAGGTACTACTACTTGCCACGGGCAGATGACAAAGCCATTGCCGGCAGCCTAGCATAGTGAGGCAGGCAGGATGCCAACCGCATCAGCCTGAACTTGCTGACTTTTGACGGCAAGCGGAACGCATCACCAAACAAAACCCAAGAAAGGATCCAACAAACGCACAAGCCCAGTTGTCACACTGATAAGAACAGATACTACGCTTGCTCATAGCCAAAAGGCCGAGAAGGTATGTGAGGGTTGCAAAAACCTGGAACAGAGTTATTATTTCTTCGTGACTCATTGCCGGGCAAGACCTTTGAATGAAGCTGCTAGAAGTTCGGGAATAGGCTGCAGGCGAAGAATTGACTTGATCCGGTGCATTCGGAGAGATATGGCCGTCAGCGACAATTTCCCTTTGCTCAAAGTTCCAGATTCGCACCAGCCCACGTTCTCTCTCTGCAAAATGCCTCAAATTCTAGAAGTATTCTCAAAGACCCATCCCACTTCCATTCTTGATTTCGAAAATCACAAGTTCCAGAAGTTTGCGTCTGAAAGCTTCCCTTTGCCTCTCTCTTTCTAAAAAAGTGCTCGACTCCTTCTTGTCGAGCAGTCAAATGGAATTGAACGTCTTGCTGTCCATCTGGAGTTCAGGATCCACTCAACAAAGTCAGCACTCACAAAAAGCTATTAGATTGCTGCTCTTGTCAACCATGGATTCCAGTCTATGTCTGAAAACTGAGACTGAACACTCAACAATCTTCCACAAAAACCCAAGGCTGGAGTGTTTTCTGCAACAGACTGAGTTGAAAGAAAGAACCAGCTTCTTTCAAAGACGACACAGAGGAGAAGAACAGCAGGACAAGCCAAAAAGCCAGTTTGAAAACAACCTGGAATGTCAATAACAAGAGAAGGAGGGGAGAGAGACAAAACGCAAAAGAAAGTGCAAAAGCAACAAAGGAGAGAAAGAACAAGGAAGAGGTGAGGAAAATGAAGAGGGGAAAGAAGAAACAATCCGTGCAAACCGTGGCTAACTTTTCAAGAAAGAGATGCAAAAACATGCAAGGAAAACTGTAAGGGAGACAAAAGTTGAAGGTCTGAACTTGTGTGTGTAAAAGAGCAAAACCGACAAGAAAAAGAAAGTGCAAGGGAAACTACAAGGGAAAGGAGAGGAACGCAAGGATACATGGCAAGAAAACAAGAAAGGAAGAAAACAAGAAAGGAAACCTACAAGGGAAAAGAATAGACGAAAGGAAACACAAACTGCAAGGGGACTGCAAGGGATGCAAGGGAAAGAATGGACACCGCAAACGTGTGCGAAATTTGCACGTCTCCAACTCAAATATGTCAAAAGTACATGTTTGGCATCTGTGTAACGCAGATGCTGCAATCGTTTGATGATTTTTGTGTCTTTCCAAGAAACCAGTCCATACTTTGCAAGGGTTTTTGCAATTTTGTGCTTTTTTGCAACTAAGAACCACTCGAAAGACCTTCAGGTTTCGTTCAAACTGACCAAATCCGGGTGGTTTGTCTTTAAAATGGAACTTTCTCCCAAAGTAAGTTTCGATTTGCTGGGAGCGCCCGGAATGGAGTATTTCAGTCTCCCAATGCTCCAGAATATGCCCTGCTTAACCACCCTAAGTATGGCGTTTTCCTTCCCTGCGTTCCATTTTTCTGCCTTACAGCACTCTTGCTCGTTTGCTTGAAGCAACCCGCTTGAAGCACCCAGCCTAACTATCACAGCGTCAACTTCATAGCGCACCAATCTTTCGCCTCTTACTAAAGGTTGCCGGGAATGGGGCGCATCAATGTGACGTCCACAATTTGTGCGGAGCTTCGTGCTCCAACTGGTGTGTGAGAAAGAAACGTAATCGTGAACACAGGGTCACTTGGTTGCCAGACGGCGTTTGGCTCGCTGGCTTCCAAACACCAAATGTAACAGGCTGCCCCCCACACGCACACACACACACACACACGCACACACGCGCGCACGCACGCACGCGTGCACACGCGCTACATTTTCTTGTTCCACCAAGTAGCTGTCGGCGACAGCTCGCAAGCCATCCGCCTTTCAAGAAATTCTGCTATGGACGACTCCATCGGAGACCTAAGGCGTTACAGGCCTCAGAGTGCAGTGAACTGCTCGACCCTATGAGAGCACAGGGACGATTGAAACAAATACCTGAAAGAACAACGCGTAGATAAACTTGTGCGCCATTTGTGGAGCGGCGGAGTCAGGTTCAAGTCCTTGGGCTACCTTTGTTTGCACCCAGAGTGACGCAGACAGTCGCCTGTATTTTGCATCCGTTCGTTCTACTCCTGGACTCACTAAAGCACAAGGGCCTACGTGAGCAAGAACAATGAGTTGATGGGTTCAAACCACAATGGGACCCTGCATATTTGCTGCGTGGGCTTTGAGAGGGGGAACTGACCCTGATCGACGACCAGCAGGAAATGTTTGGGGCATTGCGTAAATCTGTTCCAACCAAGCCATTCTCATCATGCCGCAGTGATGATATCCCCAAGACTTTGCCATTGCTCCGGCCCTTCCTCGGCTAGCTTTGGGTTGCTTGCAGGAGGCACCGACGCCGCATAAGGCATAAGCTTTCTGATTTGCCAACATTTGCCAACTTTACACAGAGCTCATAGTCCTCGACACTATGTCTGTTGCGACCTTTGATGTGGAAGATCTTTGCGCATGAATGGGGCACTAGAGAGGGTGCTCGAAGGTGGCGTGGTGGATCAGTGGATGCATATATTTAGATGTTTGGTATGTTCTGCATGTGAGAGCTGTGCATAGGCTGGCATCGCCGCAGATGCGATCACTGAGATGAAAGCTAGATAGCATTTTGTGCGATACACTTTTTAATGTTCTCGACAATCTCACTGCGTATGCTTCCTTTTTCCGCTTGTTGTTGGCCATTGGAGATTTGGAATGTGGTCTTTGCAGGCCCGCTCCATGTGCCTAAGCATGGCAAAAGCATTTGCTTGCTTGAGGAATGGAGGACAAGATGCGTAAAAGATTGGAGTGCGGGTACGCTGCCTTGCCCCCATGTAATGAACTTGCTGCAGCTGCACTGAGTGCTAGTCAATATTGCAAGCTTGAGCAAGCTTGAGAGGATTGATTGGCATCGCTGTGATGGCTCTTGGCAGTGTGAATCTCTTGGCCTCTAGGTCAGTGAGCATTTCAAGTAGTCTAGAAAGATTCTTGCACGGTTCAGTTAAGTTTGCCACAGTTGGCGGCCGATTCTCCCTACGGAACACACGCAGCTGTAGTTCTGGTCAGAATGCAGCCGGCTCGCAGCAATATGTGGCGACACGCTGCTGGCCAGCAATGCGATTTCGCGACTTGTGCACACTTGTGCATTCCATGTAGATATATGTAGATGTGTGCGAGAACACAAGCGCTGTCTGTCTCCAGACCAAACAACGACAGCCGAGAGATCTGCCAAGAACGTCCGAGGCATGACATGTCGGCCGGGTCAAAGGCAGGAAGGGCAAGCAACATTGTTCCACCTCATTACGGAGCTACGCCCTACTGCCCCCCCATTTCTGTTCACCAGGTCGGGCCCTGGCGGTGCTGCAAGATGCATCACCCATGGCCCTCAACAACAAGGCCGCCGGGTTTGAGAATCTCATTGCCTGTCTCGAGGGTGCTTTCTTAACTTACTTGTTGTCAAGCTTAATTATGTTTGATTGGGGGATTGTTTCAAGGGGACTAGTACGGAACCTGGGCCTTCTCGGGCTGCTGTTCATGGACTCATGTCACGTGGGAATGGGCCCAATAGCTTTCCGTTTCATTATCATCACATTTCCGGGTGGAATAGTTGGCACAAGGCGATTAATGCCCCGTGTGTCGGACTTTCTCTGTGTGTGTGTGTCTAGGTTTGGACAGACATGGGACGGTTTTCTTTGGACAACAGCCCTCTCTGACATGCCAGATGATGCAGTGCCAAAGCGTCGCTTGCGTCCAAGAGATATGCGAGAACCACCTGCCCGCGGCCTCAGCAGTCATGGAAATATCAGTGCATGCTCAAAGAGCTCAAACAGCAGTATTTAAACTGTTTGCTGATTTTCACATGTTTGATTCAACAAGAGTTCCACACGTAGGCAACCCTGCAATGTTAGGGAGAAAGCACTGCAGAGTCACCGAAGGAGGTGCGTTTTTGTTTTAGCAGGCCAGCAGTCGGCAAAGCACAGTTCTTCGCAGGCAAACAGATTCCACAAGACGCTTGCCGACTTACGAAGATCATGGCTGTTGCATGCTTTCGGGAGGCCCTGATGCGAAACCTTCACAGCCTGCGAAAGCGGCAACATTCTGCAAAGGCAGAACAGCCTTTGCGAAACCTGCCACACCTTTTCTTGTTCCCCCTTCTTTGCGTGTCCTCCAGTGTCCAGTGTTTCACTCATAAAAATGCAGCCAGCCATTGTTTCCTCACAAACTTCTCGGATGCAGGTTTTGTTTGCAGTGGTGGCGGTCGCTGAATCCGCACTAGGTTTTCTCTCCGCTTTGTGACAGGACGAAATTGAATCGGTTTGTTCCTTGCGATCCATTCGCGTGCAACGTATCTTGCAACAGTCAGGCTTTCTTTCGACTCCATCAATCTAGCCGAAACCTCAGCTTCTGATCTCCAGGTTGGTCTCTCCTGATGCAAATTGCCTGGGAGAATCCCAAATCAAGATGCCTTAGATCGAGCTATTTGCATGGGACATGATTAGGCAATATGAGCCGCACAAGAGGAGAATAGTTCCGGATACCCAGAAGGAGGGTCCGCAATTGTGAAGCCTTCTAGAGACACCCGGTGGCGAGCATGTTAAGCATGTTCCTCAGTTCCGAGAATCATGGAAGTGCAAGAGACGGATTGTTCCAAACTGTCCAAATGCAGGATTGTTGAAGAAAAGTCTCTCATGTGGCGCATTTTTGTATGAGCGACTCATTCCGGCTCATGTGATCTCTTGATGTCGCGTGATCTGATCTGCGACCAATTCCAAGGCATCCGCGATTCATCGAGTGGCCAAGCTGGCAGCAGCCTGTCTTCAGCTAGAGCTCCAAATTACTGGTGGTCTGTAATATTCCCAATTATGTCCTCTTGCGGAAACAAGTATGTTTGACACTGGCTCATTTAGAACTCCCAGCTGGCTGGGGATGGTCAGCAGCAGCCAGAGCAGCAAAGGACCACGGGAGACGGGTGATACTTCCCATCATTGATGGGCAATGTCGCGATGTTAATTGATGCCCGACCCAACTCAGTTTGTTTGCTCATGAATTCATTCAGATTACTCGTTTCCGGCAGTTTTGGCAAGGGACGAAGATCATCGTGTTGCATGAGACCGATTTGGAAATCCTGCTACACAACCCTTCTGCGGTAGCCACTGCACCGTGTTCAGCCCCATAGCTCTGTCAACTGCTGAGGACCAGAGTACATCGCTGGACGAGTTTGCAGCTGTTCTGGCTAAAACCGCTGGAGCCCCGTTCCTCTTGCAAGTCATGCGAATATCCCTTCAGATTGCAGAATCTTGCACATCATTGTCATCCAAGGTGGACGGTATTCGGCACGGCCAGCTCAACTCGCAATGCCTTGCCAGCGGCTCAGCTTTTCGACGAGTGATGAACCGGTCTGCCAACTGCCAACTCAGAGGCGAACGCAGCATGGACTCCGGCTACGTTGCTTTGGCATGGCCAGCCGGCACGGGGCCTACTTCGAACGGCCTGAGATTCCTGGGTCCATTTTGCCATGTCAAACGGCCTGAGGTATGGGGACCAGCTTAGAGTATTTTACAGATGTTGCGGGGGCAATCGCGGCCCTCGAAAGTTTCTGCGCGCTTCAAAGCTTTGCCTGTCTCCAGTTCAGCCGATACGTGAGCAGTAAGAAGTATGCCAGGGCAAGCGAGATACTGACAATACTTTCCTGCATTTGACATGAACAATGCTTGTATTTTATGTTGGCCAGCCAGTGGTGACCCGTAAACTTATTGTGAAAGGAACTATTTTAGTGCTTGGTTGCGGCATTTACGCTGCATCAGTGGGATATCTGTCGCAAACATGCCGCCCAAAACATACAGTTTGCTCAACCAGTGACGTGGACCACAGCCACATAAACACCAAAGGTGGCGCAAAGATCCACCCTGTTTTCACTACTGTAGCAAGACAAATCCTCAAGAAAAGCGGAAACAAACAGAAAGAACAGAAGTGTCATGGACTTATGGTCCATAGTTCTCAGATACTTGTTTTTTGCAAGTTGCTATTTTTAGGTGATCTCGAGGGATTTGCCAGTGATGCCGGTACTTAGTTTTTTCTCCAGATGTGTTTTTTTTTGTCGTCGTTAGTTTGTTTTTTTCTTTTTATTTTCTCTGGTTTGTTTAATGTGGTTCTCAAGTGTTTCATACATTAACAGAACGTGTTTGTTTGTTTTTCTCGTAGAGTTCTCTAAGAAAACTCAGATTTTCGGAGCTTTGGTCATATTTGTGCACTCCAGTCCTGCTGCAAGTTGTGTACAAGCGGCATTCAGACTTATCAGCCTAGCTGAATTGATACAGCAAACAAAGTTGGCAAGATGCAGAATGTACCCCTTGAACATCCAGTATCCTACTATAGCATCAAACAACACACACACACACATCAATCACAGTTGTCATGTTTCTGGTTGCTTCTCCAGAATGTGCTGCAAAACGAACGTATACCACACCTTGCAACTACATGCTTAGTACTAGCCGCATGAGCAAGCCAAGCAGGCCATGCACCACTTTTGCGCAAGTAGATATTCGCATGGTGCAGACAAGTTAACACGACACACATGTTGTGAAAGCCATTGGATTGCCTTGGACATCTCAAACTGTTTGCATCTCGCCGCGCCCGGTTCACATCGCAGAGCTCTTGAGCCATCTTGACTGCAGGAAAGGATCCTAGCCGGGGTGTGGTTCTTGCAGCGCATCAACCCCCTACTATTTTCCACAGTGGTAGCGGAGCAACCTTTTGGGGACGCGCACAGCATTTCGCTAGCAGCGTTTCCTTCTTCCATATAGGCTCTCGGGCCGCGCCGTAGTCCGTAGTGCGCCTGGCTGCCAGCGGCAGCACGCTTTACCTCGTCGCCTGCGGTGGCAAATTCATAAGCCTTTGTGCAGGTCATCCCGCTCGGTGGCTTTGATTTCGAGAAGCCAGGTCATCTCCCTGAGTGGCGTTACTTCGAGATCGAGCTCTACGTGGCGAAGGACATCGATTACTACGACAAGGCCCAGAACCTGACCTTCGATGGCTATGCCTAGCGTTGGTGGAGGTCAGCCTGATGATGGACGGGGCCATGGATACGCTGCAGGCTTCAGAAAAAGGAAAGAACAAAGAGAAAGGAAGAAGACAAAACACGTGACTGTAGGTCCGCTGGCCATGCCTTGCAACTTTCCAGCCGCGGCTGCGGAAGCGCGTTTCGCGTGCTACCCTTGTGCTGAAAAGTTGCCACTTTCTAGCCGGAGCTGCAGACTTTCGCGCTGAAAAATCATGGCGATGAATCCGCAAAGGATTCGTGAAAGCAATGTTATTTGCGCGAAGCACAGCCACTTCGAGACACAGGCGTTTAGAACAACCTCCAAATATTTTGTATCTATGCCTTATGCCCACAACTGCAAAAAGCAACATGCACTAATATGCACACTATATTCGCTTGTCAATCTATATTCTGTATGTTGATTATAGCGCTACAAGGCTTTACAAGAATCGCAGTCGCCTCACTCTTAGTTGTTCTCGACCGTGAATCCCCAAGAACACAACGCCGGGTAGTTCCTGCCAGTTGCATGATTTGCAATCAGGATGCGGCATTTGAAACTCGAGCGCAGAATGAGAGTTCTGATGGTGCAACATGGAGAGAAGAGAACGTACTGTTTTTTGATCGACATGTTTGTTAAGGCATGTGGATTTTCCCGAGTTATGCAGGTGGTCAATCCTCAAGGTTGTCCTATATTCCTTTGCCCACGGTTGGGTCCTTGGGCCGCACTTGGCGGTGTGAACGACAAACACGCTGAGTAGAAAAGCTTGCGCGCAATCCACACGAAAACTTCGCAAACCGAGGTTAACGACACCTAGTTTCTGCGTCACTCTGCGCGCGCAAGTCCACGCAAGTGCCGCGCAATCCCACAAACGCTCTTCCCGCTGAGGTCGCTCCTAGCAATTCTCGGCGAGCAACATACTCTGGACCAACAGAAGGACACCACACAGCTTGGACACAACCTGAAAGACGCAAATTGCATGTTGCGGCTGCCTATCCATTGGTGGAACCGCGCCGCTAAGGACATCCGAGACAGCAAATGGCTAGATGTCTTGCTGGGGCTTCTCGCGCTTGCACGCAACTTGCGCGCGGCTTGCGCGGATTTTGTCGTGGCAGCTGCTGATTGTTGAAGTCTTGACCGCAGAAGCTTTGGCTTCGTTTGGCGTCTGACTGAAAAACACGCCGCGCCTTTGCAACATTCAAAAAGCACAAGTACAGTGAACAGATATCACCTCCTTTCATAAAGCTAGGCAACATCAGTACATGAACCTTCAAAACTGTAACCTTGCGCGTCCCTTGGGCCGCACTTGCGCGCTCCTTGCGCGCACAGTTTTGGACAGCTTTTACTTCTCCCCGCTCGGCGGCGAAAGGGGATGAAGAGCTCAATATGTAAAAATATAACTTAAGTCAGCAATGAAAAACAATCATATCATATGCATCATATTGAGTAAATGAGGGTTTTGCGACCTAATGTGTGGGGAAACAATGCCTGTGTCTCCTAGAATACGGCACCCTCTGACATTTCTGATTTCTTTGTGTCCCTTTGCGTACTGTCCAAACATGCAGTCCCGAACTGTTGGACTCGAAATCGTTGGCACACACCTCGTACGCCGTAGTAAGGTGCGGGTTGACAGACCGAAAGACTAAAACACCTCCAAAAATGGTGTGTTTGGGAGGTCCTCGGAAAAGTTCTAGGAACAGTTCTATTGATCCAACCACAGGAGTCACTCATGTTGGCATGATTTTGACCGGTCAAATAGCTTCGGCCCTGTCGATCAATCAAGGTGCTGGCGGCTGCCTGGGCAAGGTGTCAGACAACCCAACTGGCGCGGCTGGCCTGTAAGCGTTGGAGGTGAAACTTCTGTTTTGCCGGTGGTCGACAAGTGACCCAAAGCAAAGCTCAATCCCATTTGGGGGTATGTGGAAACAAACCAACAACTCCATGTCAAGGTTTGTCTGAATCCTGGTTGGCTTCATGTCTTCATGTCAAGGTCAAAAATGGGCTCTCTACTTTCGACACCTGCCCAGGACACCTGCCCAGATCATTGCAACCCGCAAGTAGCGGCGGCCGCACTCTTGACTAGATATGTTTTGCTGTATTCAGTATATGGCTTTGATACTTTGCTGCTAGGTTCTGGCTTACATGAGGTGGCAGCCAATTCATCCAGCGCCATCTTTCACGGCGATTGATTTGTGTAAACGCTCAGACGCTCAGGCAACCCGGGTGCACAAGAGACGTTGCTCCGGGTGGAATCCAAGCCTTAAGCCTTGACCGCTGTGATACAGTTGGTCCAATTCTCCTCTGCGAGCTCCGCTTCGGAGGACTTTTCATGGCCCTGTTGGATCAGTTGGATCTAAGGCAGCTCTTTACAAAGGATTCAGATCTTGCCCGTTGAATGGGTTCTATCAGATGGGTTTACTTCTTGGTGCTACACACATGATTGGCCTTTCGCACCAGCTGCAACCTGTGCGTTTTCTGAGTACAGTTGGGTGACAGTAGATGTCACAATACTTACCCACTACTGTGAATTTTTGCCATCTACTTTCACCCGGTTTTGGGGATGAACCTGGGGATTCTCTTGAATACCATTGGGGATGGGTGCAGGTCGGGGTCATTCCCTCATTTTCCGGAGATCCAGCAAGTGCTTGGTCCCCAGCTTCGATCTCCTGTGCCAGGCTGGCCCCAAGGCCCAAGAGATTGCCAATGCAGCCTGAGAGTTCAGGAACCGTGCGGTGGTTTTTGGATATTTGAATGACCGAGAGGGTGCTCGTTTTAGAATGGTTTCCCTTAAACCCCCATGTACGACTCATTTTGTGGATGCCCTTTGTTTGGGGTCACGTTTCAAGACCTGTGGCAAAAGGAGGTTGGTACATGGACATGCAATGGAGGCAGAGGCTCCGCCACGGCGCCTGTCCAGCCTTGGGTCATTTGTGCATCCACTGCAGAAACTGCGAGAAGGGTGAGCTTTGGCCGCCTGAGCGACCAGTTGTTTAACTTTGCGCGCGCACACACAGACACACAGACACAGACACACACAGACACACACAGACACACACAGACACACACAGACACACACAGACACACAGAGACACACAGAGACACACAGAGACACAGACAGAGACACACAGAGGCACACCCAGACACACACACACACACAGACAGACACACAGACAGACACAGAGACACACAGAGACACACACACACACATGCGCGCGCGTACATGTCATCTAGAAGAAATCTTCTAGAGCAAGTCTTCACGCGCAATCTCAACATGCGATCTCACGTGCAATCTAAGCGTGCAACTCACGTGACGTCTCTTTGTTCAATTTTAACATGCAATCTCGTGTCTGCCTGAGTTTGCGCTGGTATTGAGAGGGGTGCGTCTTTGAGTTTCCATGTTAGATGTGCACAATCCTGTTGAATTTGAGCATCCAGTGGTTTCAGAATCAATGCACGGTGCCAACATTCTCACCAGGCAGGCTTGCAGCTCCGATTGGGGTGTTGGGTTGTCGGGTGGAAATCATCGCACCTTGACTTGTTCGGCTCATTTCCTTTACATCCAAAAAGGTACTCTCAAACAACAAGCAAGCGAGCATGCAAACAAACAAACAAGCAAACAAACACCTTGGTTGCTGCATGCTGCAAGGAAATGAGTATTCTATGGGCACACAGCGTGGTTTAGCAGCCGGCCCGGGGCCCGCAGGACGCTGGACCACTTTGAGGAAGGGCTTTGGGAAGCCACCGCAGTCGGCAGGCGGGACAGGCTGACTGCAAGTTTGGCAGTGGGCACCTCTTCCTTAAGCCACAAGCGGGTTTTCACCTCGGCCAATGTACCCCGTGTCAGGCAGGCAAGATGACATGAGCTTTCGCCGCAGCACCTGGCAAATCTCGCGCGAGCGTCCACCACAAGCCACGTGCGTCATGCAGCGCCAATGGAAGAGATTGCCTGGAGCTCAGCATGGTGGGTACGTCTTTGGGTCTCCCAGAAATACGGGACCGCAACAGGGTCGATTTCCTTGTGGTTTCCTCTCTAAACCCATCCGAAAGGAGTCACTATGAACTGCCTTGACGGCTGTGTAGGCGAGTCCTCCGGCCACGAGCGGCTAGTGGAGCCTTCTGAGTCGAGTCTCGACTATCAATGATCAATCAGGTAGCTTGTTTGTGCAGCCCGTGTTTTACCGCTTGTCCATTGCCTACCTCATAAGAGCCATAACAGACTACAAATGAGCCAAAGCAATGCGGAGTCGAAGCCTTGCACTTTGGTACAGCAATGTACAGCAAGCCAAGCTGGACTCGTTGCATGGGGTGAGGTGGGACTGAGGGAGGTTGAAGTTTCCTCCATTTCCCTCAGGCTGCTGCCAGCCTGCTGAAGGTGTCAGAACTCCAGCCGCAGGCAAGTGGCTTCTCAACGGACACTCGCGCCTGAAACTAGTGCAAAGGTAGAAAGGGTGTGCAGGGTTCTCGTTCGTCCTTTGGTAAATCAATAGAAAAGAGTGAGTTACGTGGAGGCCGAAACCCAAGGCAACCCATGCGACCCCAAGAGCCCAATGGAAGTGAAGCGATTGACAGTTTGATTTGGAGCCGCAAGAGCCCGATCGGATCGGAAGGGATCGGAAGGCTTGAGGCCTGTGCTCGGAACTCGCCAGGGTGCTGCCAATGCCTTGTGAAGCCTCGCGGCTGGAGTCTCAGTGCAACTCTGACACGGGGCTGGGCTGCCAGCACCCGGGTTTGTGTTTTCTCCTGTCAGCCTCACACGGCCATTCTCCATGCATGTCTTGGCCTTGTTAAGATGCGCATTAGAAAGAGAGAGAGAGAGAGAGGACTTGCGAGCGAATTCAGCGACAGGGTGCTTTTCTTGAGGCGGCAGAGACGTACAGCGGTGCTGTCTTTGCTGCAACGGGCGAGAAAGCAGCTGCACGAGCCGACGCCTTTGAGCCGCGGCACTTGGCCAACGTCGCGCGGGCTTGCCTGGATCTCAAGATGTCCCCAAGTTGCACTTTCCACTTGAAGGCCCCTGAGCCAAGCCCAGTGTAGGCCGGCACGTAGGCACGTAGCCTCACCTTCGGGTGCCTTGAGTGTGAAGCAAGCCTTCCACTGCCCTGAGGCGCGGAAGCTACGTACAGCCAGCCAGCCTGGCAGAATTTGCGCGGGAGGGGTTGGGGGTTCGGGGAGAATGTGGTTTTTCACGATCAAGCCCTGGCCCCCTCTTTAAGGAGAACCTAAAATGAGGTTTGGTAAACATGTTGAACACTAGTAGCATGTTTGAGCAAGGGCTTGGCCCAACCTGAGGTGCAATCTTGAAATTACAAGCTTGGATCTTTTGAGCGTGGAGGCTTGCAAGGATGTCCGACAGCTGTCGAACTCTTGATGGATCATGCTGCTTCTTTTTCCTGTTTGAGACTTGATGTTGCAACTCGGAGATGGCCCAGGAAGAGAAGCATGCTTACCTTATGCAGGTTGCTTTGTGTTGTATTCACGGATGGACTAGAACCTACCACATCCAAGGCACTCGACAGCGGGATCTTGACGATTGAGTATGATTGAATCGAAACAACTAGTTCGATGCGCTGAACAGTTGGAATACTACACAACGCTTGCAATGCGATGTTCCAATTGAAAACACACAGGTAGGAGAAGATTGACAAACATGGAATCATTTGAATCAGTTCAATATGACCTCTATTTCATAGTTGAGGCTTTGACTGTATGAAGTCCAAGGCCTTGCGCCAGGACTCCTTTGACAGGAGTGATCGCAGCAGCTGCTCTGCCGCTACTGGCAGAGCTTCGATCGCAGGTGCCCACGGAAGCGGCAACGGTTTTTTGACATGCAACATCGCCCCAGACATCCTTTCTTTGCACAGGAGCTGGGAAGCATGCTGCGGCCATCATCGAGGTCCCATCCTTATCACCTCGAAGCTGCATGTCTCCCTTTGTCCGTGGAGCGGCAAGGGAGTAGGCGCAGTGAAGGTGCTGCCCTGCAGACCTGCTGACCCCTTGTTCCAGTAGCAGAGATGGGCGGCATCCGAACAACTTGTGCGCGTCAAGGTCGGGTGGTCCATTGTTGGCCTGGGCCTCGGGGCCTCAGAGCGCAGACGCCCAAAGCACCTGACTGAGGCTTGGCCGCTCTTCTCAGCTGCTGACAGGCCTGAGACTGGCCGGGCATGGAACATGAGTTTCAATGGGAAAGCGGACTCAAAAATGGTTTGCGGACACAAACCCCCGAGTATCATGGTGTTTATCAAAGGGTCCCCTAACGTTTTAACTTAGTATGCCCGATTCAGGCTGCGCCTCAATGTTGGAATGTCCGCCCCCCAGCCGTTCCCAGCTGTTTCTGTGAGCTGCAAGCCACGAGGTCTGGGCTCAGCGCCATGCTGAGCACCAGTGAGCGGCACCGAGCGCCTTCCAAGAGATCCTTAGCCAAGGAGTCCGACACTTAGAGCCGCTTGAACGCGTGCGTTGGTCGTGGAGCTGATGGTGGTGGTCGTCCTTAAAAGGTGGAGGTGGTGGAGGAGGTGGAAGTGGAGGTGGAGGTGGTGGGTGTTTTGGTCTGCAGTGGTAGAAGTGGAGGGCGATGCTGATGGTGATGGCGAGGATGAAAGAATGCGCGGATGAGAGGATGAGAGGAGGATGATGATGAGGAGGAGGAGGAGAGAAGGATGACTATGATGCTGTATGATGACTTTTAAGATGACGCTAGAGTCACGATCAGTAGTATTGGGCCCTTTGCAATTAGTTTTGGGACATGGGGGACCACCCAAAGTGCTCACAGAACCAGCGGGGGCGTTTGCGGGGAACGAGTAATTTGTCCTTTGCTTAGTAGAGGTTGCGTAAAATATCAAATATATGTGATTTCTGTTCAAGGTTTTAGTTTCCCCCTGCCGCCCGCTCATGGTCATGGGCGGAGTGGGTGTGGCTGGAGAATCAGGGAAGTTTTCCAGGAGAGCTTTTGGCTTGATACTTTGCTCCGGCCAGGTTGCGTCTTCTCCTGCGGTGCCGTGGGGACCTCCGCCCAGTTTTCGCGGCCGGGCACCCGGCTCTGGCCGACCGGGCCGGCTGTCGAGCGCTTGGCGCGAAGGTGGTGGCTGCTGAGCGCGCCGCGGAAGCCGGCGATACCAAGAAGGCGCTGCAGCCTCCTCAGAGACGCAGTTCTGAACATCCATGCTTCCGAAGCTTCCCTTGTCATCCTTACAGTCCTCTGGAGAAAGGGCCAAGCGGTCCTTAAATTTGACACATCGCAGAATCTGCTGACATTGGGGTCGAGCACCTTTGCTTAGGCGACTCCTTGATACATTCGTCAGAGTCTTATACCCTACGCGTTTTTTTAGCTTGCAGCATGCTCCCCGGGTGCAAGTGCGGCCATGTTCGTTTTGAGGCGTTTGAAGACGCCCTCACTGCCCAGCTGGCGAAAAACTTGCGCAGGCTATTTGTGACACACTCATGATGAGGTGCTGTGCATGGGAATCCTTGATGTTCGGATGGCAGTGGTCTGATGTGGATAGCTCATTTCGAGTCTTCTGTCCCTGAGGGCGTGTGGTGCAACGATCAACTTCGATCAGGAAGATAGAAGCACCTTGGAAGTCTTGCAAAGCGAGACTGCAGGCAAAAATGGGTTGCTTGCATTGCTGGTCGAAGCTGCCTTGGAGCATTGGTCATGCTGTTGAGATGCTGTTGTGATGTATGTATAATATATATGAATGTATAAAAACATACATAGTTGTCGAGCACCTGCTGCGAGCGGTTCTGTTTTATGCGACTTTGTTCTATCGAGACTGCACTCTTTCAGCTTTGTCCCCATATCATTCTGCAGTTTGGGAGACATCTCGGACGCAAATTATGTGTTCTGGGGAGCAAAAAAGACACGAATGCTGACAAGACACTACTGCACTCCCGACCCATCGCTGCTTTGCAGAGGGCATGGCGCTTGCCTCAAAGTGTGGGTCAGCGGCGAGTTCAATGCAGCCCAGTTGAAGTGATGCCTGCCTGAGTGAACTACAAGAGAGCCCTGGAAAGGGTCTGGCTCCAAAAAGGGAACCTAAATGGTTGGTCGTCCCCTTGCACAAACATAACACACGCGGGGTGGAAGATGACTCCATTGACCGAGGCCCGCCACGCTGTGCGCAGCGTTATTCCACCCCCTGCCGCCGGTTGCTTCGATGCAGTGGTGCTGGGGCCGGATCCCTGGGGAGGACGAGGGGGGCTGACAAGGGGTGCGGGGGGCGTAGGTTATAGGTGTGTCTTTCAAGGCAGTTTGATTGAATGTACATGGCCCCCGGTCTTTTTTGTTTGGTCCAAGCCGATTACCAGTGCCGTCCTTTTGTCCAAAGGGGCAGCAGCTTGCTCAACGGCAGTGTCACTCAGCATATAACATGCATCCGGTCCCCAAATTCACAGACAAGGGCACCACCAGACCATGTGTTGGGCCCCAAAGTGGATCCCTGCAGCTTGGTCATTTAGCGACAGACCTGTCCTCATGAAGATATTTCCCCCCATTCCAAAGGGGATGGATGAATTTGCCCTGGGTTCGAAAGAGTGCTCTTTCGAAGCCTCCCAGGATGCCCTCCGCTGCGCCCTTTGGAGGGGTACATAGCTGCACGCCAACTGCCCTACCCGTTCAGAAGTCCTTGGCACCAAGAGGGCACCAACTTTGAAGTGGGCCCTCCAAGAAGTCACCAGGCCGATGTTGGGCCCAACCAGTGCAGGTCGGGTGTATCCACGGCTGCGCCCCAACTCAGCCACGTCCTTCTCGGGCAATGTGAAAATGCAGCTGGGCAAAAAGCGGGCGAAAGATTCCCCAAGCAGAGAGAGCGAGAGAGAGAGAGAGAGTGCAGACCGGCGAGCGTGTGTCGCCACTGAGATCTAAACTGTAGACTTGATTTGTTGTTCTGGCTTCCTAAAGAGAACGGCGCGGTTTTGTCAAGCGTCTGGGGATTCGGTATAGCATGAAGCAAATCACTGTTAATGTGGAAGGAGCAGGCAGCTTACGGGCAGACCCGTTGTCGTTTGTTTGCCATGGCCCGTTGGGCCCCATGCCGTTGTGCTTCTTCAGGGGTGTGCTTAGCAAATCCCAACAAGGCCTGATTTGGTAAGTGTAACCTGCCAGAGTCACGATAGGTAAGCAGATTGTGCACAAACCGGGTGTTTGTTCCAATCTGTGGAGAGTTCCTTGGGGAGCGATCCAGGTATACCCGGTAGGAACATGATGTAGTTTCCAGTTCTCTGTTGTGAAAGCCTGGCTAGCCCGACTCTCAGGCTAGGCAGGGCAGACGCCTTTTCTGAGATGAGCATAGCTCAGGCTACCCGAGCTATCCGGAAAGATGGCAGGACGGTTTGCGAGGACGTTGCAAAGTCAGAATGTCATGTCATTGATGTATGAGACTGTGTGCTTGTCATGTTGCAATGTGTGCTGTGGGAATAAGATGTTGAGCGCGGTGCGAGCAGCAGGAAGCCTTTCAGAACAAGTCCTCGAAAAATCGTCGCTTTAATGTCTCCCTTTTGGTGAGATATGCGCCTTCTGATGGAAGCAGAGCTACGCTGGCATGTTTTGGACGCCAAAGCGGAACGAGCCATCGCTTGCCCGGTGAGAATTTACTTGAAACTGTGCATGTGCATTGAGGTGGCATTGACTGCATGTTTGCTTGGCCACATTCCTTGTGTCAGGTGCGGCATGTCATGGTAGATGCCGGGAAGACGATGCGAGAGGCCAGTCACCAATCCCTGATTGATCGTGCTACTTGCAAGCCGAACATGGAATACCCCCTCATTGTTGAACACCACTTCACTCGCAGCGGGACACTGCTGGGATTCTTGACAAAGATTCGCCCAGTAGTGATGGAGCAAAGCATAACTCATTAACACCAGAGAAGCGACCCATGTATTAACGAAATAGAAAGGAGAGAAGAGTTGGTAACAGATGAAATGCTATATCGGTGAATAATAATTAAACCATTTGATACGAAATTGGTGATGTGTATTATTCAACCAACTCAAGCAACTTCAACACGAATTCGCTGTATTTGTCAAACTTGTGCATGTTCCTGTTGCACTTGCGTCAAACAGCAAAAACAGTCGCCAGTTTGTGAGTAGGCAAACATGTTTGTTCAGTTGATTGTCTTTGAACATATCATTCTCCGATTAGGTAGTTTATAATTCGAGTTGTTGGATTTGGGCTTGGGACAGGCAGTGTTTGTGTTTTATTGTTTACACGGTTTTTTGTATTCCAACCATATTTATTGTCTATTCTGCAACCTTGCTGGAAGATGACGGAGTACGACTTGCTGCAGAGGCCCACAAAGACAACAGAACACATGAAAGGATGATAGCCACGATGGCACATTTGCAAAGATAAGAGAACAAATGAAAGGATGATAGCCACGGTGGCACATTTGCAAACACTGCTCGTCCCCACCAGAATCAGATTTCTGCCAAGAAATGTCGCTAGTGCATTCCAGCAGCGAAGATGGCAACAAGCGTGCACACACGCTTCAATTCCGTACCAAGTTCCGATTTGGCTGATGGAACAGCAGTTAGTTGCAGAACTGAAGACCTGCAAGTGCTAGCTCGGTGTAAGCTGCGAGGATTGTTTGCCAAAGAAAGTGAGTTTCTGCTATTAACCATGAAATAGCGCAATGCAGGCTTTACTGCGTGCTTTTCAGTTGTCCCATAGCAAACCGCTGCAAAACCAGAAAGAGTTGGGGCAAAACCATGATGGGTTTTAGACTGCCTCGCATTGCCCTGCTTTTCCATTGCCATGCGGTGCACGTTGTGGAATGAAGCCATTGCAACTGCGAGTTGGCTGTTGTTTGAGGTCACAGGGAATGCAGTTGGATGTTTATTTATTCTCAAAGAGCTGAAGGCAACAAGTGGCAAGTGGCAAGTGGCCGTTCGCCTCGGAGGCCGCGCTGGCCTCTCTGCCCTTCTTTGGGGTCAGAACGATTGACAGCTTGCTGTTGACGCACGACCATGCAGACGCAATCATGGGCATGGACGACCTGCGGGACCTGCAGGCAGCACCATGAACAAACTAAGGCAATGGCGCAAGGCTTTTCAGGATGAGCAGAGACAAACACGTTGACATATTCCTGAACAGCGCAAAACTGCCGGCGATAAAATGGCGACCTTTCTTGAGCTCCCGTTGTCCACTATTCTCGGGCTGGGGAAAGATGCAGGTGATTGAGAAGGTCTTCGAAGGAGGAGAACACATTGGGCACCAGCTGGAAAACGGGGCCACGAGCTCAGAGCAGCGACGGTCAATTCACTGTCGTGTAGGGATGCGACGGTGACATTGGTTGCCCTCACCAAAGTGCAACATGCAAATCACTCAGTTAAACCTAATGTCGGTTGGGGTAGAATCAAAGCTTGACCCTGGAGAGGGTTGCGAGAAAGGATGGGCCTATGCAGATCATCTCTAACAAGATGACGATCGATCGCGCCACAGCCCAAGTGTTTCGCACAGCAAGGCCAGCAATGGGTGAGATGCGCTGTGTGAGGGTTTGGGTGGGTGACTTTGTCATTCCCAGGTTCGCGAAGCTTTCCCGTACCTGCACACCAAGCCTGAGTTTGTTCGTCCTGGCATCCTTCGGCGTCGAATCGCTTACTTGCAATTCAAGGAGGTGCGGAATGGCATGAGTGGTCGGGTCAAGGCGCTTACTCCAGACTTTCAAGGCCGCTGAAAATGACAAATTGTGATCGAAAAACAAGTTGGCCATCACAGTCGTTCTCGGTTCCCCCCCAAAAAAACAAAGAAGTGTGTGGATCTTTAGCGGCCGTTTTTGGTCGGAAACCAGGAGACAGAGTTTGAGAGCCCAAAGTGTTGGCCGAAAGTCGTGTAGGTCTCCAATGAGGAGGCCCTAGAAGTTTGCGGCCTGCCGGTGCGCCTCTTTCCCGCAGGGAGGCCCGGTTGAGCGGCCGCCCACGACTGCACATTTGGGCGCGTTTGACAGTACCCCTCTTGGGGTTGATTTTAAGAGGATATCAAGGCATTTTGGGGGTCCTTTTTGACACATACCCATTAAAATAGAGCCGTTTGTCCCGTCCCACCAAACGATTGATTTGGGGAGAGCATGGAGGGGCCATCCAATATCACAAAAATAAAGGGCACGATTTGAGGCCAACTGTCCCATCCCCTATTGATTTGGGAAGAGGCTGAAGCATTTTGGCTTAAGCTCCTTGCCTTTTCTGTTGCCTTTCACCAGTCCGTCACCATGGTGTTTGCCCAGCTCGCTGATGCCTTCTCCTTCTGCACCAGCCCGGACGTGCGGCACGTGCGCACCACAGCCGACCCCCCGATGGCGCCAGAGGAGTCGCTGAAGATGCTGAAGGAGGGCAACCGCCGCTTCGTGGACGGCCGTCCGCTGGGTGCGCGCACCAAGGACGCGGCAAGGCGGCAGCTGGTGGATCAGGGTCAGGCGCCGCACACGGCCATCATCGGCTGTGCCGACTCCCGTGCTCCATTGGAGACGATCTTCGACGCCATGCCAGGGGACCTCTTCGTGCTGCGCAACGCCGGGAACACCTGCACGCATGCCGAGGCGGGTTGGGATTCATGCAGGGCGCTTCTGAAGTGCCCCTTTGATTCTTGCAAAAAGTCCGAACCTGTGAGGGCAGCATGGTGGGCAGCTTGGAGTTTGCTACGGGCAAGCTGGGCAGCCGCCTGATCCTGGTTCTTGGACACACCAACTGCGGCGCCATCGCCGGTGCGACCAAAACGTATTTGGAGGCCAAGGTGCCTCAGAAGGCCGGCTCCGCGCTGCAAGGCCTGCTGCAGGACCTCGGCGCCGTGGCCGAGCAGGCGGCGCAGGAGGCCGGCCCCGGTGCCAGCGCCGACGAGGTCACCGCCCGCGCCGTCAAGGCCAGGTGGCGCCAACCCCTTGCTCTCTCCGGGGACAGGTCTGGTTGTTCCAGCAACTTTTGCCCAACCCTGTAGCCCTGTAGAGAGCGACAATTGTTTTCAGGTGAACGTCTACCACACCATGAGCTTCCTGCTGCGCTTCAGCGAGTCCATCCGCTCGGCGGTGCGCGAGGGCACTGTGCAGATCCAGGGGGGCATCTACAACCTGGAGACGGGTTCCGTGGACTTCCTTGGCGCCTTGCCCACGCAAACGGAGCTGCTTGACTCCACGATGGCCATCCCCCCGTCCATGGTGGAGGCTGGGGAGGCCCGCGGAAAGCATGGCGTGCGCACGGGCGCCGACAGCGCGGTGCCCAAAGACGTGGCGCTGAAGATGCTGAAGGCAGGCAACGAGCGCTTTGCCGCTGGTGCTCCCACGGCGACGCAGACCTCAGGCCAGAGTCGGCTGAACATGTCTATTGTTGCAACAGATTGAAGAGAGGGCTGCTTAAGGATTCAAGCAAGTTAATGAGTACTTGTCAACAGGGGAACACGGGCTGATCGAATTGCCGCGCTTCGCGCGAACATTGAGCTGTTGTTTAATAAATGTGGCATATGAGCCGCTCAAACAGATTGATGGTCAGGTGTTTGTGTTCCAGGCTTCACGGCCCGGCGTGTTTCAACAGTTTTGACAGGGGCGGCCAAACTGTGCCCCAGGCCCTATGAGGAAGGCTTTGGTGCAGTGTGGCCAGGCACCCCACAGCGCCATCCTGGGTTGCGCAGACTCTCGGGTGCCTGTGGACACCGTGTTCGATGCTATGCCAGGCGAACTTTTCGTGCTGCGCAACGCCGGGAACACCTGCACGCATGCCGAGGCAGGTCGGGATTTGGCCGGGTTATGACACACGTCGGCTTTGCAGGGCCCTGAAGTGCCCTTTGATTCTTGCAAAAAGCCCGAACCTGCAAGGGCAGCATGGTGGGCAGCTTGGAATTTTGCACCGGCAAGCTGGGCAGCCGCCTGATCCTTGTGCTCGGACACACAAAGTGCGGCGCCATCGCCGGTGCCACGCAGACCTTCCAGGCCGGCGGTGAGAACGCCCCCGGCTCTGCGCTGGAAGGCCTGCTGCAGGGCTTGTCCAGTGTGGCCAAGGACGCCAGCGAGGAGCTTGGCCCTGGTGCGTTGCAGGAGGAACTGGCCGCACATACCACCAAGGTCAACGTCTTTTCGTCCATGAACTTTTTGCTGAAGTATTCGGAGCCCATCAGGGAGCTGGTGCGCAAGGGCGACTTGGACATCCAAGGCGGCATCTACCACCTGGAGACGGGCCGCGTGGAGTTCTTGGGCCGCTCACCCCAGCAGGCAGAGCTGCTCGCCGCTGAGGGCACGCTGCCGCCGTCCATGGCTTTGGGCACAGTGCGGACCACCTCCGACGGGCCCATGGCGCCCCAGGCCGCGCTGAAGCTGTTGAAGGTGGGCAACGAGCGCTTCGTGGTGGGTGCGCCGAAGGCTGGCAAGGTGCACAGCAGCATGCGCGAGACCCTGGCCACGGGGCAAGCGCCCCACACAGCGCTGGTGGGCTGTGCGGATTCTCGTGTCCCCTTGGAGACCGTCTTCGACGCATTGCCCGGGGACCTCTTTGTTCTTCGCAATGCCGGCAACACCTGCACACATGCGGAGGGCAGTGTCTTGGGCAGCTTGGAGTTCTGCACCGGCCCGCTGAAGACTCGGCTCATCTTCGTGTTGGGCCACACCAGCTGTGGTGCTATCAAGGGCGCCACCTCCACTTTCCTGTCCGGGCAGAAGACGAAGGCGCCTCAGGCGCTGGATGCCTTGTTGCAAGGCCTGGGCTCCGTGGTCTCCGACGCTCAAAAGGAGTTGGGCAAGAAGGCGACCGAGGAGCAGGTTGCCGCCCACGCAGTGAAGCTCAACGTCTTCCACACCATGAGCTTCATGTTGAAGTACAGCGAGCCGATCCGCCAGAAGGTCCGCAGCGGTGAGCTGGAGATCCAGGGCGGCGTGTACGACCTGCAGACCGGCCGTGTGGAGTTCCTGGGAGCCAGCCCTTCCCAGGCCAAGCTGGTGGCGGCGGAGGGTGCCGTGGCTCCTTCCCTCAAGAGCAAGATGCAAGGAGCGTAGAGAGGTCCGCGCAATGGCGCGGCCGACGGGCCGAAGGGCCCCGAAACGCGGCAGACAAAATGCTGCAGGCGGTCGCCGGGACTGGCAGGGTCCAGCTCGGCCCGGGCTCCTTTTAAGGAGCCTCCGATAAATGCCTCTTGTATAGTGCATAGAATTACTGCGCACAAGTCTGCAGTGACTGGGCGTTTGTTGCCCCTATTTTGATCCTTTCAGGCTGCACGGCAGCCAGATCCAGCGGGTTGGCCAGGATTTTTCCTCTTCCGGAGCCGTCTGCAGGATTGCTTAGGTCTAGCCCGGGGCGCTGAAACGCCGCTCCTGTGGCCCGGCACCTTACACGAGGTCGCCTATACCTTACAGCCTTACATGAGCCTTGAAAAGTTTGCTTTTGCGAATGAAGCTTGGCGACGTAGATTTTGGCAGGACGCTTTGAACACGCAGACGATGTGCATACTTTGGGAAAAGGAGGTGGTAACCATGTGGCTTAAGTTGTCATTCTGTCAAGTCCCGTTGTTTGCTTCAAGCTCATTCTGGAAGTTTTTGTGGGGAGGAAGCGAATGCACTTTAACCTGTACTCTTTGATCCTTGGATTTCCGCGCCAAGCCATGTTTTGGTTGACATGTCACTACCCCCAACAAAGGATCGGATGTATACCCTCCAGATAGTGGTATAGGGGTAATGGAACATTCAAACCGTGGGGTGGCAGCTGGAAGTGGAGACATTGACACAAAGGTTTGGCACGGCGGCACCTACGTCTCGCTGGGCTTCGCCTTTGGCCTGCGGAAGGACGGCTATCCTTTGGTCAGAAGCTGAGCTTTCCGTGAGGATATCGAGTTGGAAGGTAGAGGGTGACTTGAAGAGCTTTTTGTTTAATGATTCGACCATCCTCAACATGGCTGGACGTGAATCCGCGATGCCCGCCAAGGGTCTGCAAGTCAGACTGATGCCTTCTCTTTCTCTTTGGGCACGGTTGAAAATCCGAGGTGTATATTTCAGATGTCAAGGAAGTGCCTCCAAAGACGATGGCATTTCTGGAGACCGCCGCTGCAGACGGGATCTCCCTGCTTTTGCTGGATGCGCTGAACCGGACTGGGCATCCTACACATATGTCGTTGGACGATGCTCTGGCGCTGGTGCGGAGATTGAGACCTGCAAGGACCCTGCAAAAAGAGAAACCGGCGGTCCCTTCCAAAACACGCACCATCAAAAAAGACAGGCGCACATTTTCTTCACATCGGACACTTGCTTTCTCAATAGCGCCGTTCACGAAACTTCCCCCCCCCCCCCGGATTCTCTACACGTGTTGCCAGCTCATTCACTCAGTCATAATGTGCCCCCAACTTTACTTTCATTGGAGTCTCTCGACATAGCCATTTGCCTTCTGGCTAAATATGCGGCGTGCGGCTTGGTATGTGCGTCCCCGAACCTCCCCCAGCCTCGCAAGGACATTGCTGATAGGAATGGACTCCTGCGCCGTCGGCGATCACGAAGAGGCCACGGCGTGCTTCGAGTTGAGCACCGGATTTCAGCCGCTTCTGCGTACAGATCCTTGCAAGTAGAGTAGAGCAACTGAACTCTGGTTGGAGGTGAATGAGGAGCTCAGAGCCCTTCTTCGAACGGAAGGACGTGCACAGACATTCTGTTGGGCCGAACCTGTGCAGACCTTCAGGATTGGACGTCCAGCTCGCCTACGATGGGCAGCACTTGCCGGAATTCCCGGCCAGGCTGGCCACGCGGGATTTAGCGTGTCACGTTCGACACAGCTTCACATGTTGGCAGGAACGAAAATGGAGATGCGTCTGAGACACCCGAGGCAAAGGCAAAGCGCCGATGTACAGATGATGCGCGGCTTTAGGGAGCAACCGCTTGAAGCAGATACTGCCTGCAAAAAAGAACTATCTCGGCGTTGGGTTCCTTCACCGTGTGTAAGTATATTAACTCACACACACACATTCACATATGAGCGCCCGCTTTTATTTGCGCACATCCAGACTAGTAAGGGACTGGAAACAGTTTTCTGGACAAAACGCACGTGCCTATGGGAACGAGATAGGGAGGAGCCCAAAAACGAGATAGGGAAACAGTTGTATGACATGGTGGTATAGAAATTGAGGTCAGCGTGAAAAACGAGGTCAGGAAGTCGGCCTAGTACTAAAAATGAATGAACGAGATAGGGAGGATCCCAGCAAACTGTTTCCATTAGCGGCAGCAACAAATAAAGGCCGCTCATATATGTATACACAAGTTATTCGACTTGTCTTTGTTCAGGTTTTAGTTGCCCCTCAACAACATGTTTCCGGCAAGTACTCCCCACCAAGAACCATCATGGTCTGACAAACAACATATCTGTCATTTGGCTGTACTCCCCACTGAAACCATCAGCTCTTTGAGAATGTTTCGCAACATTATTTGGTGCCATGTCTTTGGGATTGCGAGTTTGGCCAGGTGGAAGAAAATAAGTGCTGTGCAATTGTGCGAAACGCATCCCAGCACCGCATCTCAACATGTCAGCTGTGAGCCGTTTTACTTCTTCTTTTTTCCCCCCGAGATGTTGAACAATGTTGAAATGGACAGCTCATTTGGGAAGAGGCAGAAGCATTTTGGCTTAAGCTCCTTGCCTTTTCTGTTGCCTTTCACCAGTCCGTCACCATGGTGTTTGCCCAGCTCGCTGATGCCTTCTCCTTCTGCACCAGCCCGGACGTGCGGCACGTGCGCACCACAGCCGACCCCCCGATGGCGCCAGAGGAGTCGCTGAAGATGCTGAAGGAGGGCAACCGCCGCTTCGTGGACGGCCGTCCGCTGGGTGCGCGCACCAAGGACGCGGCAAGGCGGCAGCTGGTGGATCAGGGTCAGGCGCCGCACACGGCCATCATCGGCTGTGCCGACTCCCGTGCTCCATTGGAGACGATCTTCGACGCCATGCCAGGGGACCTCTTCGTGCTGCGCAACGCCGGGAACACCTGCACGCATGCCGAGGCGGGTTGGGATTCATGCAGGGCGCTTCTGAAGTGCCCCTTTGATTCTTGCAAAAAGTCCGAACCTGTGAGGGCAGCATGGTGGGCAGCTTGGAGTTTGCTACGGGCAAGCTGGGCAGCCGCCTGATCCTGGTTCTTGGACACACCAACTGCGGCGCCATCGCCGGTGCGACCAAAACGTATTTGGAGGCCAAGGTGCCTCAGAAGGCCGGCTCCGCGCTGCAAGGCCTGCTGCAGGACCTCGGCGCCGTGGCCGAGCAGGCGGTGCAGGAGGCCGGCCCCGGTGCCAGCGCCGACGAGGTGACCGCCCGCGCCGTCAAGGCCAGGTGGCGCCAACCCCTTGCTCTCTCCGGGGACAGGTCTGGTTGTTCAAGCAACTTTCGCCCAACCCTGTAGCCCTGTAGAGAGCGACAATTGTTTTCAGGTGAACGTCTACCACACCATGAGCTTCCTGCTGCGCTTCAGCGAGTCCATCCGCTCGGCGGTGCGCGAGGGCACTGTGCAGATCCAGGGGGGCATCTACAACCTGGAGACGGGTTCCGTGGACTTCCTTGGCGCCTTGCCCACGCAAACGGAGCTGCTTGACTCCACGATGGCCATCCCCCCGTCCATGGTGGAGGCTGGGGAGGCCCGCGGAAAGCATGGCGTGCGCACGGGCGCCGACAGCGCGGTGCCCAAAGACGTGGCGCTGAAGATGCTGAAGGCAGGCAACGAGCGCTTTGCCGCTGGTGCTCCCACGGCGACGCAGACCTCAGGCCAGAGTCGGCTGAACATGTCTATTGTTGCAACATATTGAAGAGGTCAACAGTTTGAAAAGTCGTAACAGTCTAAGCACACCGCGCGCTTAACTACGCGTAGAGCAATGCTAAGCATGGGCTGAGCATGTTCAATTTTGGTCGACTCTTTGTGTTTGAGTATGTTTAAATGGGTTTGCGTCAACCCTAAACCTAGTTTCTCGCAACAGATGTGTCGACTTTCAGGGCGATTGGATGGCTTTGGATGTTCCAGCAACTCCTTGTTTAGTTGTGGACGTTTCAACGACATTGGTGTGACCGAGCCTTTTGTAACGAGGGCACAGAAGCTGATGGCTCTCCCCGTGACCCGGAGAGGTCCAAACTACACGCAACAGTGGTTTGGTTGGCTTCCTGAAGGGGTCCAAAGCCGTTTTAACGTCCAAAGCTGTTTTATCACCATGTTTTATCGTCAGGAAGGTTTGAACAAGTTGGGTCCGTTTGCGGGGGTAATTATCACAGTGTGCTCAAACACGCGAAATCCCAGTTTTCTGTCAGTGTCATGCGAGTGAAGCGAGCTTCTTTGCCTGCCACTGCTCCTGCGTGCGATGAAGCTGTCTCGAGCTGCTTGAGGATTCAAGCAAGTTAATGAGTACAGTTTTGACAACTGAGGGGAACACGGGCTGATCGCATTGCCGCGCTCCGCGCGAACAAACCAATCCGGATTCAAGCGACGCTTGGCGACCCGCCTTGTTGACGCCAGTGCCGGTGAGGCAAGTGCTCTGGACGTTTGAGCTGTTGTTCAAGAAATTGCGGCGTTTGTTCCAGGCTTCACGGCCCGGCGTGTTTAAACAGTTTTGACAGGGGCGGCCAAACCGTGCCCCAGGCCCTATGAGGAAGGCTTTGGTGCAGTGTGGCCAGGCACCCCACAGCGCCATCCTGGGTTGCGCAGACTCTCGGGTGCCTGTGGACACCGTGTTCGATGCTATGCCAGGCGAACTTTTCGTGCTGCGCAACGCCGGGAACACCTGCACGCATGCCGAGGCGGGTCGGGATTTGGCCGGGTTATGACACACGTCGGCTTTGCAGGGCCCTGAAGTGCCCTTTGATTCTTGCAAAAAGCCCGAACCTGCAAGGGCAGCATGGTGGGCAGCTTGGAATTTTGCACCGGCAAGCTGGGCAGCCGCCTGATCCTTGTGCTCGGACACACAAAGTGCGGCGCCATCGCCGGTGCCACGCAGACCTTCCAGGCCGGCGGTGAGAACGCCCCCGGCTCTGCGCTGGAAGGCCTGCTGCAGGGCTTGTCCAGTGTGGCCAAGGACGCCAGCGAGGAGCTTGGCCCTGGTGCGTTGCAGGAGGAACTGGCCGCACATACCACCAAGGTCAACGTCTTTTCGTCCATGAACTTTTTGCTGAAGTATTCGGAGCCCATCAGGGAGCTGGTGCGCAAGGGCGACTTGGACATCCAAGGCGGCATCTACCACCTGGAGACGGGCCGCGTGGAGTTCTTGGGCCGCTCACCCCAGCAGGCAGAGCTGCTCGCCGCTGAGGGCACGCTGCCGCCGTCCATGGCTTTGGGCACAGTGCGGACCACCTCCGACGGGCCCATGGCGCCCCAGGCCGCGCTGAAGCTGTTGAAGGTGGGCAACGAGCGCTTCGTGGTGGGTGCGCCGAAGGCTGGCAAGGTGCACAGCAGCATGCGCGAGACCCTGGCCACGGGGCAAGCGCCCCACACAGCGCTGGTGGGCTGTGCGGATTCTCGTGTCCCCTTGGAGACCGTCTTCGACGCATTGCCCGGGGACCTCTTTGTTCTTCGCAATGCCGGCAACACCTGCACACATGCGGAGGGCAGTGTCTTGGGCAGCTTGGAGTTCTGCACCGGCCCGCTGAAGACTCGGCTCATCTTCGTGTTGGGCCACACCAGCTGTGGTGCTATCAAGGGCGCCACCTCCACTTTCCTGTCCGGGCAGAAGACGAAGGCGCCTCAGGCGCTGGATGCCTTGTTGCAAGGCCTGGGCTCCGTGGTCTCCGACGCTCAAAAGGAGTTGGGCAAGAAGGCGACCGAGGAGCAGGTTGCCGCCCACGCAGTGAAGCTCAACGTCTTCCACACCATGAACTTCATGTTGAAGTACAGCGAGCCGATCCGCCAGAAGGTCCGCAGCGGTGAGCTGGAGATCCAGGGCGGCGTGTACGACCTGCAGACCGGCCGTGTGGAGTTCCTGGGAGCCAGCCCTTCCCAGGCCAAGCTGGTGGCGGCGGAGGGTGCCGTGGCTCCTTCCCTCAAGAGCAAGATGCAAGGAGCGTAGAGAGGTCCGCGCATTGGCGCGGCCGACGGGCCGAAGGGCCCCGAAACGCGGCAGACAAAATGCTGCAGGCGGTCGCCGGGACTGGCAGGGTCCAGGTCGGCCCGCTTTCACCACTTTCACAGGTTTTCCTGTAAGGCTCCTTTTAAGGAGCCTCCGATAAATGCCTCTTGTATAGTGCATAGAATTACTGCGCACAAGTCTGCAGTGACTGGGCGTTTGTTGCCCCTATTTTGATCCTTTCAGGCTGCATGGCAGCCAGATCCAGCGGGTTGGCCAGGATTTTTCCTCTTCCGGAGCCGTCTGCAGGATTGCTTAGGTCTAGCCCGGGGCGCTGAAACGCCGCTCCTGTGGCCCGGCACCTTACACGAGGTCGCCTATACCTTACAGCCTTACATGAGCCTTGAAAAGCTTGCTTTTGCGAATGAAGCTTGGCGACGTAGATTTTGGCAGGACGTTTTGAACACGCAGACGATGTGCATACTTTGGGAAGAGGAGGTGAGGAGGTGATATAGCCTGTGGCTCACAATAGTTATTAGTTGTCATTCTGTCAAAGTCCCGTTGTTTGTTTCAAGCTCATTCTGGGCAGATTCTGGAAGGATGGACCCCATGGAGGGAGGAAGCCGAATGCCCCACTTTAAGCTTTACTCAATTGCCCAGCGCCCAACTTTTGATCCTTGGATTTCCCGCACCGAGCCGTGTTTTGGTTGTCATTTAAGGGACTTTTTGTTGCAGACTAACACCTACCAACAAAGGATTGGCGACTTAGATTTTAGCAGGACGTTCTGAACACGCAGATGATGTGAATACAACTTGTCTTTTTTCAGGTTTTAGTTGCCCCTCAACAACATGTTTCTGGCATTTGGCCGTACTCCCCACCAAGAACCATCAGGCAAAGACATGGTCTAACAAACAACATATGTGTCATTTGGCTGTACTCCCGACTGAAGCCACCAGCTCTTTGAGAATGTTTCGCAACATTCTTTGGTGCCATGTCTTTGGGATTGCGAGTTTGACCAGGTGGAAGAAACTAAGTGTTGTGCAATTGTTCGAAACGCATCCCAGCACCGCATCTCAACATGTCAGCTGTGAGCCGTTTTACTTCTTCTTTTTTCCCCCCGAGATGTTGAACAATGTTGAAATGGACAGCTCATTTGGGAAGAGGCAGAAGCATTTTGGCTTAAGCTCCTTGCCTTTTCTGTTGCCTTTCACCAGTCCGTCACCATGGTGTTTGCCCAGCTCGCTGATGCCTTCTCCTTCTGCACCAGCCCGGACGTGCGGCACGTGCGCACCACAGCCGACCCCCCGATGGCGCCAGAGGAGTCGCTGAAGATGCTGAAGGAGGGCAACCGCCGCTTCGTGGACGGCCGTCCGCTGGGTGCGCGCACCAAGGACGCGGCAAGGCGGCAGCTGGTGGATCAGGGTCAGGCGCCGCACACGGCCATCATCGGCTGTGCCGACTCCCGTGCTCCATTGGAGACGATCTTCGACGCCATGCCAGGGGACCTCTTCGTGCTGCGCAACGCCGGGAACACCTGCACGCATGCCGAGGCGGGTTGGGATTCATGCAGGGCGCTTCTGAAGTGCCCCTTTGATTCTTGCAAAAAGTCCGAACCTGTGAGGGCAGCATGGTGGGCAGCTTGGAGTTTGCTACGGGCAAGCTGGGCAGCCGCCTGATCCTGGTTCTTGGACACACCAACTGCGGCGCCATCGCCGGTGCGACCAAAACGTATTTGGAGGCCAAGGTGCCTCAGAAGGCCGGCTCCGCGCTGCAAGGCCTGCTGCAGGACCTCGGCGCCGTGGCCGAGCAGGCGGTGCAGGAGGCCGGCCCCGGTGCCAGCGCCGACGAGGTGACCGCCCGCGCCGTCAAGGCCAGGTGGCGCCAACCCCTTGCTCTCTCCGGGGACAGGTCTGGTTGTTCAAGCAACTTTCGCCCAACCCTGTAGCCCTGTAGAGAGCGACAATTGTTTTCAGGTGAACGTCTACCACACCATGAGCTTCCTGCTGCGCTTCAGCGAGTCCATCCGCTCGGCGGTGCGCGAGGGCACTGTGCAGATCCAGGGGGGCATCTACAACCTGGAGACGGGTTCCGTGGACTTCCTTGGCGCCTTGCCCACGCAAACGGAGCTGCTTGACTCCACGATGGCCATCCCCCCGTCCATGGTGGAGGCTGGGGAGGCCCGCGGAAAGCATGGCGTGCGCACGGGCGCCGACAGCGCGGTGCCCAAAGACGTGGCGCTGAAGATGCTGAAGGCAGGCAACGAGCGCTTTGCCGCTGGTGCTCCCACGGCGACGCAGACCTCAGGCCAGAGTCGGCTGAACATGTCTATTGTTGCAACAGATTGAAGAGAGGGCTGCTTAAGGATTCAAGCAAGTTAATGAGTACTTGTCAACAGGGGAACACGGGCTCATCGAATTGCCGCGCTTCGCGCATTGAGCTGTTGTTCAATAAATGTGGCGTTTGAGCCGCTCAAACAGATTGATGGTCAGGTGTTTGTGTTCCAGGCTTCACGGCCCGGCGTGTTTAAACAGTTTTGACAAGGGCGGCCAAACCGTGCCCAAGGCCCTATGAGGAAGGCTTTGGTGCAGTGTGGCCAGGCGCCCCATAGCGCCATCCTGGGCTGCGCAGACTCCCGGGTGCCTGTGGACACCGTGTTCGATGCTATGCCAGGCGAACTTTTCGTGCTGCGCAACGCCGGGAACACCTGCACGCATGCCGAGGCGGGTCGGGATTTGGCCGGGTTATGACACACGTCGGCTTTGCAGGGCCCTGAAGTGCCCTTTGATTCTTGCAAAAAGCCCGAACCTGCGAGGGCAGCATGGTGGGCAGCTTGGAATTTTGCACCGGCAAGCTGGGCAACCGCCTGATCCTTGTGCTTGGACACACAAAGTGCGGCGCCATCGCCGGTGCCACGCAGACCTTCCAGGCCGGCGGTGAGAACGCCCCCGGCTCTGCGCTGGAAGGCCTGCTGCAGGGCTTGTCCAGTGTGGCCAAGGACGCCAGCGAGGAGCTTGGCCCTGGTGCGTTGCAGGAGGAACTGGCCGCACATACCACCAAGGTCAACGTCTTTTCGTCCATGAACTTTTTGCTGAAGTATTCGGAGCCCATCAGGGAGCTGGTGCGCAAGGGCGACTTGGACATCCAAGGCGGCATCTACCACCTGGAGACGGGCCGCGTGGAGTTCTTGGGCCGCTCACCCCAGCAGGCAGAGCTGCTCGCCGCTGAGGGCACGCTGCCGCCGTCCATGGCTTTGGGCACAGTGCGGACCACCTCCGACGGGCCCATGGCGCCCCAGGCCGCGCTGAAGCTGTTGAAGGTGGGCAACGAGCGCTTCGTGGTGGGTGCGCCGAAGGCTGGCAAGGTGCACAGCAGCATGCGCGAGACCCTGGCCACGGGGCAAGCGCCCCACACAGCGCTGGTGGGCTGTGCGGATTCTCGTGTCCCCTTGGAGACCGTCTTCGACGCATTGCCCGGGGACCTCTTTGTTCTTCGCAATGCCGGCAACACCTGCACACATGCGGAGGGCAGTGTCTTGGGCAGCTTGGAGTTCTGCACCGGCCCGCTGAAGACTCGGCTCATCTTCGTGTTGGGCCACACCAGCTGTGGTGCTATCAAGGGCGCCACCTCCACTTTCCTGTCCGGGCAGAAGACGAAGGCGCCTCAGGCGCTGGATGCCTTGTTGCAAGGCCTGGGCTCCGTGGTCTCCGACGCTCAAAAGGAGTTGGGCAAGAAGGCGACCGAGGAGCAGGTTGCCGCCCACGCAGTGAAGCTCAACGTCTTCCACACCATGAACTTCATGTTGAAGTACAGCGAGCCGATCCGCCAGAAGGTCCGCAGCGGTGAGCTGGAGATCCAGGGCGGCGTGTACGACCTGCAGACCGGCCGTGTGGAGTTCCTGGGAGCCAGCCCTTCCCAGGCCAAGCTGGTGGCGGCGGAGGGTGCCGTGGCTCCTTCCCTCAAGAGCAAGATGCAAGGAGCGTAGAGAGGTCCGCGCAATGGCGCGGCCGACGGGCCGAAGGGCCCCGAAACGCGGCAGACAAAATGCTGCAGGCGGTCGCCGGGACTGGCAGGGTCCAGCTCGGCCCGCTTTCACCACTTTCACAGGTTTTCCTGTAAGGCTCCTTTTAAGGAGCCTCCGATAAATGCCTCTTGTATAGTGCATAGAATTACTGCGCACAAGTCTGCAGTGACTGGAGGTTTGTTGCCCCTATTTTGATCCTTTCAGGCTGCACGGCAGCCAGATCCAGCGGGTTGGCCAGGATTTTTCCTCTTCCGGAGCCGTCTGCAGGATTGCTTAGGTCTAGCCCGGGGCGCTGAAACGCCGCTCCTGTGGCCCGGCACCTTACACGAGGTCGCCTATACCTTACAGCCTTACATGAGCCTTGAAAAGCTTGCTTTTGCGAATGAAGCTTGGCGACGTAGATTTTGGCAGGACGTTTTGAACACGCAGACGATGTGCATACTTTGGGAAGAGGAGGTGAGGAGGTGATATAGCCTGTGGCTCACATTAGTTATTAGTTGTCATTCTGTCAAAGTCCCGTTGTTTGTTTCAAGCTCATTCTGGGCAGATTCTGGAAGGATGGACCCCATGGAGGGAGGAAGCCGAATGCCCCACTTTAAGCTTTACTGAATTGCCCAACGCCCAACTTTTGATCCTTGGATTTCCCGCGCCGACCCGTGTTTTGCTTGTCATTTAAGTGACTTTTTGCAGACTAGCACCTACCAACAAAGGATTGGTGACTTAGATTTTAGCAGGACGTTCTGAACACGCAGATGATGTGAATACAACTTGTCTTTTTTCAGGTTTTAGTTGCCCCTCAACAACATGTTTCTGGCATTTGGCCGTACTCCCCACCAAGAACTATCAAGCAAAGACATGGTCTAACAAACAACATATCTGTCATTTGGCTGTACTCCCGACTGAAACCATCAGCTTTTTGAGAATGTTTCGCAACATTCTTTGGTGCCATTTCTTTGGGATTGCGAGTTTGGCTAGGTGGAAGAAAATAAGTGCTGTGCAATTGTGCGAAACGCATCCCAGCACCGCATCTCAACATGCCAGCTGCGAGCTATTTCCCCAGATAGCTGAAAGCTATAGGGGTTCTACTTCTAATAAAGAGGGGAAAGTGATTTGCGAGATTGACGGTTGAGTGTTAGGGGGCATGCAGTCTGGGGTGCTGGCGCAGGTACTGTTTTGGGATTTGGTTTGGGGTGCTGTGTTGAAGTGCTGGCGACAGTGCGGCCAGGTGCTTTGGGAGTGCTGTTGGGGGGGCATTGATGGCAGGGGGCTAGGGGGCATGCAGTTTGGGGTGCTGGTGCGGGTGCTGTTTTTTGGTGGACTGGGGTCACGGGCACGTCTTTGCGAGATTGACGGCGGGACGCTAAGGGGCATGCAGCTTGGGGCGCTGGTGCAGGTGCTGTTTTGAGGGGCTTGGTGAGAGCCAGGTGTGTTTTTGCAAGATCGACGGCAAGATGCTGGGGGGCATGCAGTTTGGGGATTCTTGTGCAGGTGCTGTTTTGGGGTGTTGCTTGAGGTGCCATGTGGGGTCTAGCTGGTGTAATTTTTTGAGATGTTGAACAATGTTGAAATGGACAGCTCATTTGGGAAGAGGCAGAAGCATTTTGGCTTAAGCTCCTTGCCTTTTCTGTTGCCTTTCACCAGTCCGTCACCATGGTGTTTGCCCAGCTCGCTGATGCCTTCTCCTTCTGCACCAGCCCGGACGTGCGGCACGTGCGCACCACAGCCGACCCCCCGATGGCGCCAGAGGAGTCGCTGAAGATGCTGAAGGAGGGCAACCGCCGCTTCGTGGACGGCCGTCCGCTGGGTGCGCGCACCAAGGACGCGGCAAGGCGGCAGCTGGTGGATCAGGGTCAGGCGCCGCACACGGCCATCATCGGCTGTGCCGACTCCCGTGCTCCATTGGAGACGATCTTCGACGCCATGCCAGGGGACCTCTTCGTGCTGCGCAACGCCGGGAACACCTGCACGCATGCCGAGGCGGGTTGGGATTCATGCAGGGCGCTTCTGAAGTGCCCCTTTGATTCTTGCAAAAAGTCCGAACCTGTGAGGGCAGCATGGTGGGCAGCTTGGAGTTTGCTACGGGCAAGCTGGGCAGCCGCCTGATCCTGGTTCTTGGACACACCAACTGCGGCGCCATCGCCGGTGCGACCAAAACGTATTTGGAGGCCAAGGTGCCTCAGAAGGCCGGCTCCGCGCTGCAAGGCCTGCTGCAGGACCTCGGCGCCGTGGCCGAGCAGGCGGTGCAGGAGGCCGGCCCCGGTGCCAGCGCCGACGAGGTGACCGCCCGCGCCGTCAAGGCCAGGTGGCGCCAACCCCTTGCTCTCTCCGGGGACAGGTCTGGTTGTCTCACAGGTCAACAACTTTCGCCCAACCCTGTAGCCCTGTAGAGAGCGACAATTGTTTTCAGGTGAACGTCTACCACACCATGAGCTTCCTGCTGCGCTTCAGCGAGTCCATCCGCTCGGCGGTGCGCGAGGGCACTGTGCAGATCCAGGGGGGCATCTACAACCTGGAGACGGGTTCCGTGGACTTCCTTGGCGCCTTGCCCACGCAAACGGAGCTGCTTGACTCCACGATGGCCATCCCCCCGTCCATGGTGGAGGCTGGGGAGGCCCGCGGAAAGCATGGCGTGCGCACGGGCGCCGACAGCGCGGTGCCCAAAGACGTGGCGCTGAAGATGCTGAAGGCAGGCAACGAGCGCTTTGCCGCTGGTGCTCCCACGGCGACGCAGACCTCAGGCCAGAGTCGGCTGAACATGTCTATTGTTGCAACAGATTGAAGAGAGGGCTGCTTAAGGATTCAAGCAAGTTAATGAGTACTTGTCAACAGGGGAACACGGGCTGATCGAATTGCCGCGCTTCGCGCGAACATTGAGCTGTTGTTCAATAAATGTGGCATATGAGCCGCTCAAACAGATTGATGGTCAGGTGTTTGTGTTCCAGGCTTCACGGCCCGGCGTGTTTCAACAGTTTTGACAGGGGCGGCCCAACCGTGCCCCAGGCCCTATGAGGAAGGCTTTGGTGCAGTGTGGCCAGGCACCCCACAGCGCCATCCTGGGTTGCGCAGACTCTCGGGTGCCTGTGGACACCGTGTTCGATGCTATGCCAGGCGAACTTTTCGTGCTGCGCAACGCCGGGAACACCTGCACGCATGCCGAGGCGGGTCGGGATTTGGCCGGGTTATGACACACGTCGGCTTTGCAGGGCCCTGAAGTGCCCTTTGATTCTTGCAAAAAGCCCGAACCTGCAAGGGCAGCATGGTGGGCAGCTTGGAATTTTGCACCGGCAAGCTGGGCAGCCGCCTGATCCTTGTGCTCGGACACACAAAGTGCGGCGCCATCGCCGGTGCCACGCAGACCTTCCAGGCCGGCGGTGAGAACGCCCCCGGCTCTGCGCTGGAAGGCCTGCTGCAGGGCTTGTCCAGTGTGGCCAAGGACGCCAGCGAGGAGCTTGGCCCTGGTGCGTTGCAGGAGGAACTGGCCGCACATACCACCAAGGTCAACGTCTTTTCGTCCATGAACTTTTTGCTGAAGTATTCGGAGCCCATCAGGGAGCTGGTGCGCAAGGGCGACTTGGACATCCAAGGCGGCATCTACCACCTGGAGACGGGCCGCGTGGAGTTCTTGGGTCGCTCACCCCAGCAGGCAGAGCTGCTCGCCGCTGAGGGCACGCTGCCGCCGTCCATGGCTTTGGGCACAGTGCGGACCACCTCCGACGGGCCCATGGCGCCCCAGGCCGCGCTGAAGCTGTTGAAGGTGGGCAACGAGCGCTTCGTGGTGGGTGCGCCGAAGGCTGGCAAGGTGCACAGCAGCATGCGCGAGACCCTGGCCACGGGGCAAGCGCCCCACACAGCGCTGGTGGGCTGTGCGGATTCTCGTGTCCCCTTGGAGACTGTCTTCGACGCATTGCCCGGGGACCTCTTTGTTCTGCGCAATGCCGGCAACACCTGCACACATGCGGAGGGCAGTGTCTTGGGCAGCTTGGAGTTCTGCACCGGCCCGCTGAAGACTCGGCTCATCTTCGTGTTGGGCCACACCAGCTGTGGTGCTATCAAGGGCGCCACCTCCACTTTCCTGTCTGGGCAGAAGACGAAGGCGCCTCAGGCGCTGGATGCCTTGTTGCAAGGCCTGGGCTCCGTGGTCTCCGACGCTCAAAAGGAGTTGGGCAAGAAGGCGACCGAGGAGCAGGTTGCCGCCCACGCAGTGAAGCTCAACGTCTTCCACACCATGAACTTCATGTTGAAGTACAGCGAGCCGATCCGCCAGAAGGTCCGCAGCGGTGAGCTGGAGATCCAGGGCGGCGTGTACGACCTGCAGACCGGCCGTGTGGAGTTCCTGGGAGCCAGCCCTTCCCAGGCCAAGCTGGTGGCGGCAGAGGGTGCCGTGGCTCCTTCCCTCAAGAGCAAGATGCAAGGAGCGTAGAGAGGTCCGCGCAATGGCGCGGCCGACGGGCCGAAGGGCCCCGAAACGCGGCAGACAAAATGCTGCAGGCGGTCGCCGGGACTGGCAGGGTCCAGCTCGGCCCGCTTTCATCACTTTCACAGGTTTTCCTGTAATGCTCCTTTTAAGGAGCCTCCGATAAATGCCTCTTGTATAGTGCATAGAATTACTGCGCACAAGTCTGCAGTGACTGGGCGTTTGTTGCCCCTATTTTGATCCTTTCAGGCTGCACGGCAGCCAGATCCAGCGGGTTGGCCAGGATTTTCCTTTTCCGGAGCCGTCTGCAGGATTGCTTAGGTCTAGCCCGGGGCGCTGAAACGCCGCTCCTGTGGCCCGGCACCTTACACGAGGTCGCCTATACCTTACAGCCTTACATGAGCCTTGAAAAGCTTGCTTTTGCGAATGAAGCTTGGCGACGTAGATTTTGGCAGGACGTTTTGAACACGCAGACGATGTGCATACTTTGGGAAGAGGAGGTGAGGAGGTGATATAGCCTGTGGCTCACATTAGTTATTAGTTGTCATTCTGTCAAAGTCCCGTTGTTTGTTTCAAGCTCATTCTGGGCAGATTCTGGAAGGATGGACCCCATGGAGGGAGGAAGCCGAATGCCCCACTTTAAGCTTTACTCAATTGCCCAGCGCCCAGCTTTTGATCCTTGGATTTCCCGCGCCGAGCCGTGTTTTGGTTGTCATTTAAGGGACTTTTTGTTGCAGACTAACACCTACCAACAAAGGATTGGTGACTTAGATTTTAGCAGGACGTTCTGAACACGCAGATGATGTGAACACAACTTGTCTTTTTTCAGGTTTTAGTTGCCCCTCAACAACATGTTTCTGGCATTTGGCCGTACTCCCCACCAAGAACCATCAGGCAAAGACATGGTCTAACAAACAACATATCTGTCATTTGGCTGTACTCCCGACTGAAGCCACCAGCTCTTTGAGAATGTTTCGCAACATTCTTTGGTGCCATGTCTTTGGGATTGCGAGTTTGACCAGGTGGAAGACACTAAGTGTTGTGCAATTGTGCGAAACACATCCCAGCACCGCATCTCAACATGTCAGCTGTGAGCCGTTTTTTTTTTTTTGAGATGTTGAACAATGTTGAAATGGACAGCTCATTTGGGAAGAGGCAGAAGCATTTTGGCTTAAGCTCCTTGCCTTTTCTGTTGCCTTTCACCAGTCCGTCACCATGGTGTTTGCCCAGCTCGCTGATGCCTTCTCCTTCTGCACCAGCCCGGACGTGCGGCACGTGCGCACCACAGCCGACCCCCCGATGGCGCCAGAGGAGTCGCTGAAGATGCTGAAGGAGGCAACCGCCGCTTCGTGGACGGCCGTCCGCTGGGTGCGCGCACCAAGGACGCGGCAAGGCGGCAGCTGGTGGATCAGGGTCAGGCGCCGCACACGGCCATCATCGGCTGTGCCGACTCCCGTGCTCCATTGGAGACGATCTTCGACGCCATGCCAGGGGACCTCTTCGTGCTGCGCAACGCCGGGAACACCTGCACGCATGCCGAGGCGGGTTGGGATTCATGCAGGGCGCTTCTGAAGTGCCCCTTTGATTCTTGCAAAAAGTCCGAACCTGTGAGGGCAGCATGGTGGGCAGCTTGGAGTTTGCTACGGGCAAGCTGGGCAGCCGCCTGATCCTGGTTCTTGGACACACCAACTGCGGCGCCATCGCCGGTGCGACCAAAACGTATTTGGAGGCCAAGGTGCCTCAGAAGGCCGGCTCCGCGCTGCAAGGCCTGCTGCAGGACCTCGGCGCCGTGGCCGAGCAGGCGGTGCAGGAGGCCGGCCCCGGTGCCAGCGCCGACGAGGTGACCGCCCGCGCCGTCAAGGCCAGGTGGCGCCAACCCCTTGCTCTCTCCGGGGACAGGTCTGGTTGTTCAAGCAACTTTCGCCCAACCCTGTAGCCCTGTAGAGAGCGACAATTGTTTTCAGGTGAACGTCTACCACACCATGAGCTTCCTGCTGCGCTTCAGCGAGTCCATCCGCTCGGCGGTGCGCGAGGGCACTGTGCAGATCCAGGGGGGCATCTACAACCTGGAGACGGGTTCCGTGGACTTCCTTGGCGCCTTGCCCACGCAAACGGAGCTGCTTGACTCCACGATGGCCATCCCCCCGTCCATGGTGGAGGCTGGGGAGGCCCGCGGAAAGCATGGCGTGCGCACGGGCGCCGACAGCGCGGTGCCCAAAGACGTGGCGCTGAAGATGCTGAAGGCAGGCAACGAGCGCTTTGCCGCTGGTGCTCCCACGGCGACGCAGACCTCAGGCCAGAGTCGGCTGAACATGTCTATTGTTGCAACAGATTGAAGAGGTCAGTACACTGCCTTGGCCAGGGCTGCTTAAGGATTCAATCAAGTTAATGAGAACAGTGTTGACAACTGTGGGGAACACAGGCTGATCGCATTGCGGCGTTTGTTCCAGGCTTCACGGCCCGGCGTGTTTCAACAGTTTTGACAGGGGCGGCCCAACCGTGCCCCAGGCCCTATGAGGAAGGCTTTGGTGCAGTGTGGCCAGGCGCCCCATAGCGCCATCCTGGGCTGCGCAGACTCCCGGGTGCCTGTGGACACCGTATTCGATGCTATGCCAGGCGAACTTTTCGTGCTGCGCAACGCCGGGAACACCTGCACGCATGCCGAGGCGGGTTGGGATTTGGCCGGGTTATGACACACGTCGGCTTTGCAGGGCCCTGAAGTGCCCAATGATTCTTGCAAAAAGCCCGATGCGAGGGCAGCATGGTGGGCAGCTTGGAATTTTGCACCGGCAAGCTGGGCAGCCGCCTGATCCTTGTGCTCGGACACACAAAGTGCGGCGCCATCGCCGGTGCCACGCAGACCTTCCAGGCCGGCGGTGAGAAGGCCCCCGGCTCTGCGCTGGAAGGCCTGCTGCAGGGCTTGTCCGTTGTGGCCAAGGAAGCCAGCGAGGAGCTTGGCCCTGGTGCGTTGCAGGAGGAACTGGCCGCACATGCCACCAAGGTCAACGTCTTTTCGTCCATGAACTTTTTGCTGAAGTACTCGGAGCCCATCAGGGAGCTGGTGCGCAAGGGCGACTTGGACATCCAAGGCGGCATCTACCACCTGGAGACGGGCCGCGTGGAGTTCTTGGGCCGCTCACCCCAGCAGGCAGAGCTGCTCGCCGCTGAGGGCACGCTGCCGCCGTCCATGGCTTTGGGCACAGTGCGGACCACCTCCGACGGGCCCATGGCGCCCCAGGCCGCGCTGAAGCTGTTGAAGGTGGGCAACGAGCGCTTCGTGGTGGGTGCGCCGAAGGCTGGCAAGGTGCACAGCAGCATGCGCGAGACCCTGGCCACGGGGCAAGCGCCCCACACAGCGCTGGTGGGCTGTGCGGATTCTCGTGTCCCCTTGGAGACCGTCTTCGACGCATTGCCCGGGGACCTCTTTGTTCTTCGCAATGCCGGCAACACCTGCACACATGCGGAGGGCAGTGTCTTGGGCAGCTTGGAGTTCTGCACCGGCCCGCTGAAGACTCGGCTCATCTTCGTGTTGGGCCACACCAGCTGTGGTGCTATCAAGGGCGCCACCTCCGCTTTCCTGTCCGGGCAGAAGAAGAAGGCGCCTCAGGCGCTGGATGCCTTGTTGCAAGGCCTGGGCTCCGTGGTCTCCGACGCTCAAAAGGAGTTGGGCAAGAAGGCGACCGAGGAGCAGGTTGCCGCCCGCAGTGAAGCTCAACGTCTTCCACAAACTTCATGTTGAAGTACAGCGAGCCGCCAGAAGGTGCCGTGAGCTGGAGATCCAGGGCGGCGTGTACGACCTGCAGACCGGCCGTGTGGAGTTCCTGGGAGCCAGCCCTTCCCAGGCCAAGCTGGTGGCGGCAGAGGGTGCCGTGGCTCCTTCCCTCAAGAGCAAGATGCAAGGAGCGTAGAGAGGTCCGCGCAATGGCGCGGCCGACGGGCCGAAGGGCCCCGAAACGCGGCAGACAAAATGCTGCAGGCGGTCGCCGGGACTGGCAGGGTCCAGCTCGGCCCGCTTTCATCACTTTCACAGGTTTTCCTGTAATGCTCCTTTTAAGGAGCCTCCGATAAATGCCTCTTGTATAGTGCATAGAATTACTGCGCACAAGTCTGCAGTGACTGGGCGTTTGTTGCCCCTATTTTGATCCTTTCAGGCTGCACGGCAGCCAGATCCAGCGGGTTGGCCAGGATTTTTCCTTTTCCGGAGCCGTCTGCAGGATTGCTTAGGTCTAGCCCGGGGCGCTGAAACGCCGCTCCTGTGGCCCGGCACCTTACACGAGGTCGCCTATACCTTACAGCCTTACATGAGCCTTGAAAAGCTTGCTTTTGCGAATGAAGCTTGGCGACGTAGATTTTGGCAGGACGTTTTGAACACGCAGACGATGTGCATACTTTGGGAACAGGAGGTGAGGAGGTGATATAGCCTGTGGCTCACATTAGTTATTAGTTGTCATTCTGTCAAAGTCCCGTTGTTTGTTTTAAGCTCATTCTGGGCAGATTCTGGAAGGATGGACCCCATGGAGGGAGGAAGCCGAATTGACTTTTTGCAGACTAGCACCTACCAACAAAGGATTGGCGACTTAGATTTTAGCAGGACGTTCTGAACACGCAGATGATGTGAATACAACTTGTCTTTTTTCAGGTTTTAGTTGCCCCTCAACAACATGCTGCTGGCATTTGGCCGTACTCCCCACCAAGAACTATCAAGCAAAGACATGGTCTAACAAACAACATATCTGTCATTTGGCTGTACTCGCGACTGAAACCATCAGCTTTTTGAGAATGTTTCGCAACATTCTTTGGTGCCATTTCTTTGGGATTGCGAGTTTGACCAGGTGGAAGAAACTAAGTGTTGTGCAATTGTGCGAAACGCAGTTGAAAGCTATAGGGGTTCTAACTTCTAATAAAGAGGGGTTCTAACTTCTAGTAAAGAGGGGAAAGTGATTTGCGAGATTGACGGCTGGGTGTTAGGGGGCATGCAGTCTGGGGTGCTGGCGCAGGTACTGTTTTGGGATTTGGTTTGGGGTGCTGTGTTGAAGTGCTGGCGACAGTGCGGCCAGGTGCTTTGGGAGTGCTGTTGGGGGGGGCATTGATGGCAGGGGGCCAGGGGCATGCAGTTTGGGGTGCTGGTGCGGGGGCTGTTTTTTGGTGGACTGGGGTCACGGGCACGTCTTTGCGAGATTGACGGCGGGACGCTAAGGGGCATGCAGCTTGGGGCGCTGGTGCAGGTGCTGTTTTGAGGGGCTTGGTGAGAGCCAGGTGTGTTTTTGCAAGATCGACGGCAAGATGCTGGGGGGCATGCAGTTTGGGGATTCTTGTGCAGGTGCTGTTTTGGGGTGTTGCTTGAGGTGCTATTTGGGGTCTATGCTGGTGTAATTTTTTGAGATGTTGAACAATGTTGAAATGGACAGCTCATTTGGGAAGAGGCAGAAGCATTTTGGCTTAAGCTCCTTGCCTTTTCTGTTGCCTTTCACCAGTCCGTCACCATGGTGTTTGCCCAGCTCGCTGATGCCTTCTCCTTCTGCACCAGCCCGGACGTGCGGCACGTGCGCACCACAGCCGACCCCCCGATGGCGCCAGAGGAGTCGCTGAAGATGCTGAAGGAGGGCAACCGCCGCTTCGTGGACGGCCGTCCGCTGGGTGCGCGCACCAAGGACGCGGCAAGGCGGCAGCTGGTGGATCAGGGTCAGGCGCCGCACACGGCCATCATCGGCTGTGCCGACTCCCGTGCTCCATTGGAGACGATCTTCGACGCCATGCCAGGGGACCTCTTCGTGCTGCGCAACGCCGGGAACACCTGCACGCATGCCGAGGCGGGTTGGGATTCATGCAGGGCGCTTCTGAAGTGCCCCTTTGATTCTTGCAAAAAGTCCGAACCTGTGAGGGCAGCATGGTGGGCAGCTTGGAGTTTGCTACGGGCAAGCTGGGCAGCCGCCTGATCCTGGTTCTTGGACACACCAACTGCGGCGCCATCGCCGGTGCGACCAAAACGTATTTGGAGGCCAAGGTGCCTCAGAAGGCCGGCTCCGCGCTGCAAGGCCTGCTGCAGGACCTCGGCGCCGTGGCCGAGCAGGCGGTGCAGGAGGCCGGCCCCGGTGCCAGCGCCGACGAGGTGACCGCCCGCGCCGTCAAGGCCAGGTGGCGCCAACCCCTTGCTCTCTCCGGGGACAGGTCTGGTTGTTCAAGCAACTTTCGCCCAACCCTGTAGCCCTGTAGAGAGCGACAATTGTTTTCAGGTGAACGTCTACCACACCATGAGCTTCCTGCTGCGCTTCAGCGAGTCCATCCGCTCGGCGGTGCGCGAGGGCACTGTGCAGATCCAGGGGGGCATCTACAACCTGGAGACGGGTTCCGTGGACTTCCTTGGCGCCTTGCCCACGCAAACGGAGCTGCTTGACTCCACGATGGCCATCCCCCCGTCCATGGTGGAGGCTGGGGAGGCCCGCGGAAAGCATGGCGTGCGCACGGGCGCCGACAGCGCGGTGCCCAAAGACGTGGCGCTGAAGATGCTGAAGGCAGGCAACGAGCGCTTTGCCGCTGGTGCTCCCACGGCGACGCAGACCTCAGGCCAGAGTCGGCTGAACATGTCTATTGTTGCAACAGATTGAAGAGAGGGCTGCTTAAGGATTCAAGCAAGTTAATGAGTACTTGTCAACAGGGGAACACGGGCTGATCGAATTGCCGCGCTTCGCGCGAACATTGAGCTGTTGTTCAATAAATGTGGCATATGAGCCGCTCAAACAGATTGATGGTCAGGTGTTTGTGTTCCAGGCTTCACGGCCCGGCGTGTTTCAACAGTTTTGACAGGGGCGGCCCAACCGTGCCCCAGGCCCTATGAGGAAGGCTTTGGTGCAGTGTGGCCAGGCGCCCCATAGCGCCATCCTGGGCTGCGCAGACTCCCGGGTGCCTGTGGACACCGTATTCGATGCTATGCCAGGCGAACTTTTCGTGCTGCGCAACGCCGGGAACACCTGCACGCATGCCGAGGCGGGTTGGGATTTGGCCGGGTTATGACACACGTCGGCTTTGCAGGGCCCTGAAGTGCCCAATGATTCTTGCAAAAAGCCCGATGCGAGGGCAGCATGGTGGGCAGCTTGGAATTTTGCACCGGCAAGCTGGGCAGCCGCCTGATCCTTGTGCTCGGACACACAAAGTGCGGCGCCATCGCCGGTGCCACGCAGACCTTCCAGGCCGGCGGTGAGAAGGCCCCCGGCTCTGCGCTGGAAGGCCTGCTGCAGGGCTTGTCCGTTGTGGCCAAGGAAGCCAGCGAGGAGCTTGGCCCTGGTGCGTTGCAGGAGGAACTGGCCGCACATGCCACCAAGGTCAACGTCTTTTCGTCCATGAACTTTTTGCTGAAGTACTCGGAGCCCATCAGGGAGCTGGTGCGCAAGGGCGACTTGGACATCCAAGGCGGCATCTACCACCTGGAGACGGGCCGCGTGGAGTTCTTGGGCCGCTCACCCCAGCAGGCAGAGCTGCTCGCCGCTGAGGGCACGCTGCCGCCGTCCATGGCTTTGGGCACAGTGCGGACCACCTCCGACGGGCCCATGGCGCCCCAGGCCGCGCTGAAGCTGTTGAAGGTGGGCAACGAGCGCTTCGTGGTGGGTGCGCCGAAGGCTGGCAAGGTGCACAGCAGCATGCGCGAGACCCTGGCCACGGGGCAAGCGCCCCACACAGCGCTGGTGGGCTGTGCGGATTCTCGTGTCCCCTTGGAGACCGTCTTCGACGCATTGCCCGGGGACCTCTTTGTTCTTCGCAATGCCGGCAACACCTGCACACATGCGGAGGGCAGTGTCTTGGGCAGCTTGGAGTTCTGCACCGGCCCGCTGAAGACTCGGCTCATCTTCGTGTTGGGCCACACCAGCTGTGGTGCTATCAAGGGCGCCACCTCCGCTTTCCTGTCCGGGCAGAAGAAGAAGGCGCCTCAGGCGCTGGATGCCTTGTTGCAAGGCCTGGGCTCCGTGGTCTCCGACGCTCAAAAGGAGTTGGGCAAGAAGGCGACCGAGGAGCAGGTTGCCGCCCACGCAGTGAAGCTCAACGTCTTCCACACCATGAACTTCATGTTGAAGTACAGCGAGCCGATCCGCCAGAAGGTCCGCAGCGGTGAGCTGGAGATCCAGGGCGGCGTGTACGACCTGCAGACCGGCCGTGTGGAGTTCCTGGGAGCCAGCCCTTCCCAGGCCAAGCTGGTGGCGGCAGAGGGTGCCGTGGCTCCTTCCCTCAAGAGCAAGATGCAAGGAGCGTAGAGAGGTCCGCGCATTGGCGCGGCCGACGGGCCGAAGGGCCCCGAAACGCGGCAGACAAAATGCTGCAGGCGGTCGCCGGGACTGGCAGGGTCCAGCTCGGCCCGCTTTCATCACTTTCACAGGTTTTCCTGTAATGCTCCTTTTAAGGAGCCTCCGATAAATGCCTCTTGTATAGTGCATAGAATTACTGCGCACAAGTCTGCAGTGACTGGGCGTTTGTTGCCCCTATTTTGATCCTTTCAGGCTGCACGGCAGCCAGATCCAGCGGGTTGGCCAGGATTTTCCTTTTCCGGAGCCGTCTGCAGGATTGCTTAGGTCTAGCCCGGGGCGCTGAAACGCCGCTCCTGTGGCCCGGCACCTTACACGAGGTCGCCTATACCTTACAGCCTTACATGAGCCTTGAAAAGCTTGCTTTTGCGAATGAAGCTTGGCGACGTAGATTTTGGCAGGACGTTTTGAACACGCAGACGATGTGCATACTTTGGGAAGAGGAGGTGAGGAGGTGATATAGCCTGTGGCTCACATTAGTTATTAGTTGTCATTCTGTCAAAGTCCCGTTGTTTGTTTCAAGCTCATTCTGGGCAGATTCTGGAAGGATGGACCCCATGGAGGGAGGAAGCCGAATGCCCCACTTTATGCTTTACTCAATTGCCCAGCGCCCAGCTTTTGATCCTTGGATTTCCCGCGCCGAGCCGTGTTTTGGTTGACATGTCATTTAAGTGACTTTTTGCAGACTAACACCTACCAACAAAGGATTGGTGACTTAGATTTTAGCAGGACGTTCTGAACACGCAGATGATGTGAATACAACTTGTTTTTTTTTTCAGGTTTTAGTTGCCCCTCAACAACATGTTTCTGGCATTTGGCCGTCCCACCAAGAACCATCAAGCAAAGACATGGTCTAATAAACAACATATTTGTCATTCGTCTCTACTCAACTCCCGACTGAAGCCATCAGCTCTTTGAGAATGTTTCGCAACATTCTTTGGTGCCATGTCTTTGGGATTGCGAGTTTGACCAGGTGGAAGAAACTAAGTGTTGTGCAATTGTGCGAAACGCATCCCAGCACCGCATCTCAACATGTCAGCTGTGAGCCGTTTTTTGAGATGTTGAACAATGTTGAAATGGACAGCTCATTTGGGAAGAGGCAGAAGCATTTTGGCTTAAGCTCCTTGCCTTTTCTGTTGCCTTTCACCAGTCCGTCACCATGGTGTTTGCCCAGCTCGCTGATGCCTTCTCCTTCTGCACCAGCCCGGACGTGCGGCACGTGCGCACCACAGCCGACCCCCCGATGGCGCCAGAGGAGTCGCTGAAGATGCTGAAGGGGGGCAACCGCCGCTTCGTGGACGGCCGTCCGCTGGGTGCGCGCACCAAGGACGCGGCAAGGCGGCAGCTGGTGGATCAGGGTCAGGCGCCGCACACGGCCATCATCGGCTGTGCCGACTCCCGTGCTCCATTGGAGACGATCTTCGACGCCATGCCAGGGGACCTCTTCGTGCTGCGCAACGCCGGGAACACCTGCACGCATGCCGAGGCGGGTTGGGATTCATGCAGGGCGCTTCTGAAGTGCCCCTTTGATTCTTGCAAAAAGTCCGAACCTGTGAGGGCAGCATGGTGGGCAGCTTGGAGTTTGCTACGGGCAAGCTGGGCAGCCGCCTGATCCTGGTTCTTGGACACACCAACTGCGGCGCCATCGCCGGTGCGACCAAAACGTATTTGGAGGCCAAGGTGCCTCAGAAGGCCGGCTCCGCGCTGCAAGGCCTGCTGCAGGACCTCGGCGCCGTGGCCGAGCAGGCGGTGCAGGAGGCCGGCCCCGGTGCCAGCGCCGACGAGGTGACCGCCCGCGCCGTCAAGGCCAGGTGGCGCCAACCCCTTGCTCTCTCCGGGGACAGGTCTGGTTGTTCAAGCAACTTTCGCCCAACCCTGTAGCCCTGTAGAGAGCGACAATTGTTTTCAGGTGAACGTCTACCACACCATGAGCTTCCTGCTGCGCTTCAGCGAGTCCATCCGCTCGGCGGTGCGCGAGGGCACTGTGCAGATCCAGGGGGGCATCTACAACCTGGAGACGGGTTCCGTGGACTTCCTTGGCGCCTTGCCCACGCAAACGGAGCTGCTTGACTCCACGATGGCCATCCCCCCGTCCATGGTGGAGGCTGGGGAGGCCCGCGGGAAGCATGGAGTGAGAACGGGCGCCGACAGCGCGGTGCCCAAAGACGTGGCGCTGAAGATGCTGAAGGCAGGCAACGAGCGCTTTGCCGCTGGTGCTCCCACGGCGACGCAGACCTCAGGCCAGAGTCGGCTGAACATGTCTATCGTTGCAACAGATTGAAGAGAGGGCTGCTTAAGGATTCAAGCAAGTTAATGAGTACTTGTCAACAGGGGAACACGGGCTGATCGAATTGCCGCGCTTCGCGCAAACATTGAGCTGTTGTTCAATAAATGTGGCGTTTGAGCCGCTCAAACAGATTGATGGTCAGGTGTTTGTGTTCCAGGCTTCACGGCCCGGCGTGTTTAAACAGTTTTGACAGGGGCGGCCCAACCGTGCCCCAGGCCCTATGAGGAAGGCTTTGGTGCAGTGTGGCCAGGCGCCCCATAGCGCCATCCTGGGCTGCGCAGACTCCCGGGTGCCTGTGGACACCGTATTCGATGCTATGCCAGGCGAACTTTTCGTGCTGCGCAACGCCGGGAACACCTGCACGCATGCCGAGGCGGGTTGGGATTTGGCCGGGTTATGACACACGTCGGCTTTGCAGGGCCCTGAAGTGCCCAATGATTCTTGCAAAAAGCCCGATGCGAGGGCAGCATGGTGGGCAGCTTGGAATTTTGCACCGGCAAGCTGGGCAGCCGCCTGATCCTTGTGCTCGGACACACAAAGTGCGGCGCCATCGCCGGTGCCACGCAGACCTTCCAGGCCGGCGGTGAGAAGGCCCCCGGCTCTGCGCTGGAAGGCCTGCTGCAGGGCTTGTCCGTTGTGGCCAAGGAAGCCAGCGAGGAGCTTGGCCCTGGTGCGTTGCAGGAGGAACTGGCCGCACATGCCACCAAGGTCAACGTCTTTTCGTCCATGAACTTTTTGCTGAAGTACTCGGAGCCCATCAGGGAGCTGGTGCGCAAGGGCGACTTGGACATCCAAGGCGGCATCTACCACCTGGAGACGGGCCGCGTGGAGTTCTTGGGCCGCTCACCCCAGCAGGCAGAGCTGCTCGCCGCTGAGGGCACGCTGCCGCCGTCCATGGCTTTGGGCACAGTGCGGACCACCTCCGACGGGCCCATGGCGCCCCAGGCCGCGCTGAAGCTGTTGAAGGTGGGCAACGAGCGCTTCGTGGTGGGTGCGCCGAAGGCTGGCAAGGTGCACAGCAGCATGCGCGAGACCCTGGCCACGGGGCAAGCGCCCCACACAGCGCTGGTGGGCTGTGCGGATTCTCGTGTCCCCTTGGAGACCGTCTTCGACGCATTGCCCGGGGACCTCTTTGTTCTTCGCAATGCCGGCAACACCTGCACACATGCGGAGGGCAGTGTCTTGGGCAGCTTGGAGTTCTGCACCGGCCCGCTGAAGACTCGGCTCATCTTCGTGTTGGGCCACACCAGCTGTGGTGCTATCAAGGGCGCCACCTCCACTTTCCTGTCCGGGCAGAAGACGAAGGTGCCTCAGGCGCTGGATGCCTTGTTGCAAGGCCTGGGCTCCGTGGTCTCCGACGCTCAAAAGGAGTTGGGCAAGAAGGCGACCGAGGAGCAGGTTGCCGCCCACGCAGTGAAGCTCAACGTCTTCCACACCATGAACTTCATGTTGAAGTACAGCGAGCCGATCCGCCAGAAGGTCCGCAGCGGTGAGCTGGAGATCCAGGGCGGCGTGTACGACCTGCAGACCGGCCGTGTGGAGTTCCTGGGAGCCAGCCCTTCCCAGGCCAAGCTGGTGGCGGCAGAGGGTGCCGTGGCTCCTTCCCTCAAGAGCAAGATGCAAGGAGCGTAGAGAGGTCCGCGCATTGGCGCGGCCGACGCGCGGCAGACAAAATGCTGCAGGCGGTCGCCGGGACTGGCAGGGTCCAGCTCGGCCCGCTTTCATCACTTTCACAGGTTTTCCTGTAATGCTCCTTTTAAGGAGCCTCCGATAAATGCCTCTTGTATAGTGCATAGAATTACTGCGCACAAGTCTGCAGTGACTGGGCGTTTGTTGCCCCTATTTTGATCCTTTCAGGCTGCACGGCAGCCAGATCCAGCGGGTTGGCCAGGATTTTCCTTTTCCGGAGCCGTCTGCAGGATTGCTTAGGTCTAGCCCGGGGCGCTGAAACGCCGCTCCTGTGGCCCGGCACCTTACACGAGGTCGCCTATACCTTACAGCCTTACATGAGCCTTGAAAAGCTTGCTTTTGCGAATGAAGCTTGGCGACGTAGATTTTGGCAGGACGTTTTGAACACGCAGACGATGTGCATACTTTGGGAAGAGGAGGTGAGGAGGGAGGTGATTAGTCCTGTGGCTCACATTGTCATTCTGTCAAAATCCCGTTTGATGATGGCAGAGACTGTCAGGCAGCCTTTCTGCAGACCTGCTCCTTGTTTCTTCATGTCAAGGTTTGTTCTTCTGTGCCTTCAAGACACTGCATCCGTCCTACTTCTCAATATCAAGGCTATGATATGGGTGAGCTTGTGTAGATGTTGATTTGGACACCCACATGATTGCAACGTCGACAGCTGTGTGAGATCGATATTCCAGGGCAAAGTGCGGACAGATGTCCAAATCCAATTTCTTGCAATCCTTGTAGATGAAGGTTTCATGTGTACAGATCAATGGCGACAGCTTCCATCTTGAAGTCGAGCCGCAGACGACAGGCAGCGAGTTGGAACAACAGATCAAAGCTCGGCTTTGGGGAAATGCGTTCACACGCAAAAACAAGGTGATTGTTTGTTTGGAGGGAGGAGCAGTTCTGCAAAATGATGCGACCTTGGAAAGCGCGGGCTGTCCTTCAGAGGTGCAGCTGGTCATCAGCTCAAACACAGTGACTTGTTCCAACAGAGCAGGGCTTGCTCACATTGATGCAGAGACTCTGGTTTCGGTTAGAATCGAGGACGACAAGACTGACATTTGTCCAAGTGCCTTTGAATCCTGCAGAGTCCTGGCCGAAGTGATCATGCCCGATTCAATAAGAAGCATTGGAGAATATGCCTTTTGCGACTGCAGCTCTTTGGAAAGTATCACTATCCCCAATTCCGTCGAACACATTGGTGAGCGTGCCTTTCGCAACTGCAGCCGGTTGCGGGATGTGACCATCCCGAGCTCAGTGCAAAGCATTGGATTCCGCACCTTTGAAGGGTGCAGCTCTTTGGCAAGCGTGACCATCGCAGCGAAGAGCATTGGAAACTATGCCTTCAGCGGCTGCAGCTCTTTGAAAGGGGTGAACATCCCCTTGCTGGACAGCATTGGGACATATGCCTTTGAGGACTGCAAGTCTTTGGAGCATGTGACCATCCCCGACTCAGTGAAAACCATTGGGGAGGGTGCCTTTGACCGCTGCAGCTTGTTGAAACAAGTGATCATCCCGGACTCAGTGGAAAGCATCGGAAACTTTGCCTTTCGCAGCTGCCTGTCTTTGGACAGTGCCATCATTTCCAAGTCAGTGAGCAAAATTGGGGACGGTGCCTTTGACAGCTGCAGCTTTTTGAAAACTGTCTCCATCCCCGCGTCCGTGACCCACATTGGGCCAGCAGCCTTCCTCAACTGCAAACTGTTGAAAAGTGTGGCCATCCCAGCGGTGGAAAGCATCGGGAATTTCGCCTTCAGCGGTTGCCGCTCTTTGGAAACGGTCGTCATCCCCGAGTCTGTGACCCACATTGGGCCGTCTGCCTTCAAAAGCTGCACCTCTTTGACTTTGGTGGTGCCTGCCAGTATTCTCGCTGGGGAACGAGTCAAGATTGATACCTGTGGTTGCAAACGGATTCGAGCAGATGAGAGTATCAAGGCGAGTACTGATTGGTAACGTCCGGGTTTGTCCTTGAAGGTGGCAATTCTGCAAACTATTGAACCATATTGTGTCATGTCATGTTGCCTATCCTTTGGCCGTAGATCATTTGAAGTCAGAACGCAAATGGTGACGTCGAAATTTGTTGGTTTGGCGTCAGGAGAAGGGGGAATTGCAGCACGAGTGTTGAGGAGAACTACAATTTCTCTGAAAAACATAATATGCCTGGCACTTGTCGTTTGTTGTAGGAATCCCAGTTGAATGGTGCAACGCTAACAACCGGACACTCTCGACGTGGTTTCCAGGGTATCTCGAGAGAGAGAGAGAAAGAGAGAGAGAGAGAGAGAGAGAGAGAGAGACAGGATTGGAACCACCCAACTGGTCCGCTGGGCCCGCGCTGCGAGGCTGCAGCGGAGTCCAGCCCTGCGGGCCCTGCAAGCCCTGCGGGCGGGGGCGCGACGGCGGCGAAGGTGCTGAGAGCCAAGGAGCCGTCGGGCGCCGCAACGAGCGCATTCAATGCTGCATGATGGGAGCCATGGGAACCATGGGAGCCTTTATCCGGCTCGGGCAAAGGGTTTGAGCCGCGCAATTCCTAGGGTCTCTTTTGCTCTCTTCAGCAGATTTTGTTCTTTGCCAGCATACTGCTTGGAGCTGTGCATGCCGTTGCATACAGTCCTTGTCAGATGTTTATTGCAAGCAAACAACAAGATTCGTGATCTCAAAAGCTATTGCTCCACACCTCTCGCAAGCGCCTTGGCCCCATGTTGCAGGAGGAGGAGGAGGAGGAGGAGGATGTGAAGCAGGCTGAATGCGGGAAGTCCGAGGCAAAGGATCAGAAGCCAAAGGAAATGAACGAGGAGAAGGAGGATCAGCAGGACAAGGAATCAGAGGCTAAGGAGGAAAAGGAGGCTGAGAAGATTGATTCTGGGAAGCAATGGCTCCTCTGATGATGTCAGGTGCTGCGTACGCTGACACAGCTCGTTCCTACTTACCCCGGGTCCTGAGGTGTCGAAGACAAATCGCTCCATAATTGGGCGATGATTGGCCGGCACCTCCTTAATAATAACAAAACCAAAATAAAACTAACAAAAAAGGAAAGGAACCAAAATTTGATAATCAAAAAAAACATACAAAAACGAAATAGAAAAACAGAAAGAAAACGAAAGAATAATTCATAAGTAAAATCAAAACACTTAAAAAGAAAGAAGGATATAACAAAGGATATATTTATTTGTTTAAATAAATCGGAGATAAGTTAAATAATATTTATTGAATTTAAATAATTTGACAAAAAAACAAATAATATTAAATAATATATTACAATAATTGTATATATATATATATAAACATAAATAAATTAGTTTTATTTATAATTTATATATATTTTTATTTAAATTTAATTATTTATATAATTATATTTATTTTATAAAGCAAAATTATGATTGTTATTTTGAATATTTTGGAAATTGGTTTGGGTTATTTTTAAAATATGTTGTTTTATATGTTTATGGTATGTTTAGTTATGTTTGTGCCGATTATTTTGATTATAGGAAGATATAATGTGTTTTTTTTAGCGTTTATTATTTTTTCGAAATATTCCGAATATTTCGGATTTTTTTTTGATTGATTGTGTTTTTACTTGCGTTTGCAATAATTACATACACGTTCTCGTTTTGCTTAGGCGATCGTTTTTCACTGACTCTTTGGCATGACCTTATCGCGACAAGCCCGGCCTTTAAAACATCTCATATATATATATATTATTTGATATTTATGAAATGATAAACTATATTGGTCCCTGAGAATTCGGTTTTTTTTTGGCACCCGCTTTAACTTACCCCGAATTGATGGTTTGGATTGGTGGTTTGGGAATTGAATTCTTGGGTGATATTGAAATTGAATAGGAATTCATTCCCTAACCTCCAAACCGGGCCGGTAGTAACTCGGATTGCCCAGTGGGCCGTCAAAAATCTGCAACCACTCCTACCCGCGGGCCAGAATACAGCCGTCGTGGAGGGCAAGGAGAGCGTTTCCCACTGACTCGCTCCACTAGGCGAGGGCGTTAAAGGACAAGCGGCTAGCGGCCGCGCGCAATTGGGGCACGCGCAACCGAGAGCTCGCACGTGCGTTCTTGCAGGCCGTCTGTATCACGGCTTTCGGGCTCGGAGTCGGACGCATGCACGTGCGCAGGCGAAGCCTGTAGCATGTCGATATCAGAATCCGGCGCGCTGCGCGCCGGAGGCGTGTCTCTTTTTGTCTTTGTCTCTCTGTTTCTCTGTCGGTGTCTTTTTCTGTTTCTCATTGTCTGTTGGTCTCTCTGTCTCTGGTATTTGTTTTTTTGTCTGGCTGTCTGTTTGTCTGTCGCTTGTCTGTGTCTGTCTGTCTGTCTGTGTTTGTCTGTGTCTGTCTGTGTCTGTCTGTGTCTGTCTGTGTCTGTCTGTGTCTGTCTGTGTCTGTCTGTGTCTGTCTGTGTCTGTTTGTGTCTGTCTGTGTCTGTCTGCGTCTGTCTGTGTCTGTCTGCGTCTGTCTGTGTCTGTCTCTGTGTGTCTGTGTGTTTGTGTGTCTGTGTGTTTGTGTTTGTGTGTTTGTCTTTGTTTTTGTGTTTGTTTTTGATTCTTGTTTTTGGTGACACGCCCCACCGGACCCGTGGAGGCGTTTCTTTTTGGAGGGTGGGGGGGGGGGGGATGACAGCGACCATGTCCATGTGGAGGCGTTTGTTTTTTGAGGGGGGGGGGGGATGACAGCGACCATGACCATGTTGCCAGACCCGGCAGGCGCGGCTTTGGTGTCTTCTGCGTGTGGCGGGGGGGGAAGAGGCGGGCGAACTGCGCCCCCGCAGGCACGAGTTTGGCTGGAGCAGGGCATGTGGCATGTGGCAAGCGGAGTGATGGGCACTTCAAAAGCAAACCGCATGAATACACACACAAACATCCCATCCAACAACAACAACAACGTCAACAACAACAACACACGCACGTCCTTACTTTCGCACTTCGTTGGGCACCCATGGAGTCGGTCTTGGAGCCAGTCGCACTGCTTATTCTGCTACGCCTGGCACGGGTGTCGTTGCCTCCTGGTTTGGATGGCTGGCGGGCACGCAGCAGATTGATCGCTGCTGGCATCACTTGAAAAATATCATGCCCAGTGAGATGAAGAGCCGCGGTCCCAGCGGCCTGATCAACAGTCGCCTGTGGACGAGAGCATACCAATTCTTGTATAGACGGTCTTTGTGTGCCTGACATATTAAACATGTGGTCTCTGTGGCAAAGAGATAAAACAAGCAGTGCCCGATGCCAGCATGTCAATGCATGAAAGCTGCTGTTAGATACAAACGAACTTTTTGGCACCTTGCGGCATGCTCCTTCAGCAGATTTGAATGGTAAACGCGCGTTTTTGCGCGGGTCCTGCTGAGCGTTGTTTTTGTGTTTGTTTGTATTTTTGTCCTTGTTTTTGTTTGTTGGTTTGTTGGTTTGTTTGAAATTGATATAGGGTAAGTGTTGTAAATCGTTCTGGCATAATTTAAGTTGTGTTGGTTGAATGTGTTCGTTGTATTTATGGATGTAAAGATAATTGTAAAAATTATTATTATTTGAAATTGTATATTTGTATATTGTGTATAGGTAAATTATATAATATTTTATTCGAAATATATGATAGAAAGATATTTATGAAATTTAAAATTTACAATATTAATATTTGGTCGATTTTTATATATTATATATATGGTTAACCCGGCATTCGTTTGGCATTTGTATAGAGTTGTGCTAGAAAATATTATTTAATGTTTGAAGGAGGGGAATTTGTTAATGGCAATTTAATAGGGTTCTGCCGGGAAAAAATATTTAGTATGAATCCAATTTAGTGAGTTTTGAGTATGTATAGTGTGCGGTGAAATTTTGGGATTGGTATTATTGCCTTTAATTTTATGCTTATTGTATTTTACAAAAAATGGGGTGACTTAAACCATATGGGGTGATTTAAACGGATATGTATAATTCTAAGCGATTGGAGGTAATTTAACACGATATGGGGTAATTTACGATATCTGTTTATATTATATAGATTAACCTTGATTAAATGCATTTTTCCTAATGTTTTAAACGAAATTAATTCGGCTTTATTTATATGTCGGATATGATGATATTTTCGTGCGTGTTATAACAATTGTATATGGGGAGGGATTTTTTGAGACTAATAATTCATGGGTCCATTCTCCCCTTGTTTAGACGACCGCCTTTCATTAATTAAATGTCTATACACTAATATTGGGCACCTGAGATATACTACTGAAAAATTCCATCTACAACTCGTCTTTCCAGAAATGAGTTTCTAATTTAATATAATGCATAATCTTTCGAAATATTTTGTTTGGGCAGGGTCTAAAACAAAGGCTCAAAATCGTAGTTATTTATTTTCTCGAAATATTCCGAAACCGCCTTTTGTTAAGCACTTGCTCGGTCTGCTTATTTCTGTCTCTATAAATATAATCATATCCCCACTATTATTTTAGTAAAATATTTTTTAAAATAATATATTATTTAAAATCTTTTTTTTTTACTAACCAAAAATTAACGATATTCTATTTATTTATTTAAAAAATATTAATTTATAAATTATATTAATTTAATATTAATTATATTAATTCGTTTATTTCTTAATTTGTTTTTTTTTTATATGTTGAGATATTTGAAGCTATTTACGTACGCCTTATTAAATCGTATTGGGAAAATGAAGCGGTAACAAAGCATATGTTTTTGCTTGAGATTTAATGCAAAATTAGCTTTCTTTATGCTGCTGCATTTTTAATGCTTCTATAAGGATATCTTGAATAGTGTTTATATGCGACCAACTTTCATAATTGTAATCTTAGCGTAATATTTCGACATATATCGTTTGCATCCCTTAATTATAATCGAAATTTGATATTAGGAAGCCCTGCTCTCGCGCAAGATTTGTTAAGTAATGGCTCTATATAACATAGCTTCTCGATTTAAATCGTTATAATTTTCGTTTACAACTATCTTTAAAGCTTATGCGTCTCTTGTGTGCCCTATATAGGAAGCAAATCGGGTCGTCTCTTCGTAATAAGCATGGATATAGAAATGAATCGTATCTTCTTGGCATTTTTCAAATAATCTTAGATTAAATTTGGGATATCATTAATTTCGTAAATGTATAATCAAAACAACACCTCAGTATTCATTCAATACGACCCCCAAAAACCTCTAAATAGAATCTTTTCTGCTTGCCTCGGGAAAACATTGCGCCTAAGGAGCAGCCGTAATTCGATGGGCTCTACAACGTTATAGAATAACATTGCACGATATATATTGGATAAAAACCACCTTGTGGGTTTCACTCTTGCGATCTTGGTGGTGCTTACATTCTTAATCCAAAGATATAATATTACCATTCCAAAAAATATCCTTTAATTCTTGTTATACCTAAATTTTAGCCATGAAGCATATGACTTCTGCTAAGCCATTTTCCACCTATACAAATCGTTTCAATATTCTGGAATAATCCAAATCTAATTCTTTATAGGGAGATTCTAAATTATTTCGATTTTAAACACGAAGCTTTGAGAATTCCACACGAAAATAGACTCCTATAATGTATAAAAAAACACTTTATATTGTTGTATTCTAACAATTATATCGGCTTATGTTATGAGTAAATGTTATATTGTTAGAAATTATTCTAATTTGGGATTGGATGGCAATAAGCTTGGTAATGTAGTCGTTTGTTCCACAATTCTAGTGTATAATCTTTAGGATAATTTCATAATTAGAGGCGGTCGATCAATATTTAATAAATTTTACATATGTTTTTATAATATTAAAGGAAAACTAATTAATTACAAACATAATCATATTTATCGTAATTTTTGCTTAACAATTCTAATTTATAGGATATAATAAACTAGATAAATGCTTGGAATTCTTAATATTAGTGTTAATTCCACGAAAAATATATTAGTATGTATTCTATAAAAATATAAAATTTACATTAGAACACTAATAAATTATATATATATATATATTGTGGGAATAAATCATTCTTTGATAAAACATAAATATTTGAAAAAACATTCGAAATATGTTATCCAAAATATCCATCGTTTCCTACCTATCCAGAACAATAAATATATAATTGTGCAATCTATCCTTTAATATATATAATAATTCGTTGGCAAATTATCGTCGCCATAGAATAGCTACAATTGCCCAATTATATTATATATCTCCTTTAAAATTATATTTATATTCACCACCAAAATATAAAAAATTAAAAATAAAAATATGTAAAACAAATATAAAATTACTCGAAAAATCCAATCATAAAATATTTACAAAATATAGACGCCATATCGCATATATCATCCTACTCCGCCGGATTCCTTAAAAATTACCGAACGAATAACAATAATCAAATTTATCATATATAATATATATGTCTGTATCACTAAGACATATTATAAATTAACGTTCTTAAAGCATAATTTATCGATGAACAATTAAAGTAGAAATTTTGCTATATTAATATTAGTATTAATCGAATTCCTAATTATAACATAAATAAACAATAATGTTTATTATCGCCGAATCGATACCTAACACAAAACCTGGAACACCTATTATCGATATTAGAGTTCTCCAATAATTTCTCCATTCTTATGCTCAAGAGCCTAAAGCTCAGTCAGCCATTCCAGTGCTCACTAGCTGCGTCCAAACTTAAGAAACATGCCATTCTTTTGAGTTGCTAAGGAATGTGCTCGGGCAGTATGGGCTAGCCGAGCAACCGGACTAATTTGCATTCAAAGACGAGGTAAGCAAAGATACCTACTTTCGAATCATCGGCTTCCTAATTTAGCAGAATGCGTCCCGGGTGCGGAAAATGTGTGTTTGCGAAATACCACTTGTAAAAGGTGGACAAATTTCTTATAGATATTATTAAATTAGTTAAACTTATCCGCAAAAAACAATCATGTTAAATTCGATTATCTATTTTAGTAGCGCCCATATCCCATAATTGTTTCTCATAAAATTAAAAATATATAAAATAAAATACCATCAACATATATAAAACATACTAAAACGAAAAGCAAGACAAAACAAAAAGAAGCAAGCGAAGCTTGAAAGGGAGAGATACGACACGCAGCAACGTTTTTTTTATTTTTATTTTGCTTTCTGTTTTTCTCTTTCTCTCTTTCTTTCTCTTTTTCTCTATCTTTTTTTCCTCTTTAATTATTTTATTAATATTGCCATTAATAGAATTACCAAATTCTTTTTAATATATATATACATAAATGTCATTTAAAGAAAATTAATAATATAAATGATGTAAATAATATAGATAAGATATTTTTTAAACGAAATAAGTTGGGTTATATAATGATTTAATATTTTTTTATAAATATAATAATTAATTAGATACTATTTATATAGGCGATAATATTATATTAAAGAAATTGGAAATATAAATAATACGAACGATTAATATATAAATTTCAAAAGTTTAAACATCACTAAAACTATAGAAACCTTAATAATAATATATATTAATATCTCATAAATCGGTACGGCCTCGAGATCGCATTTCCCCTACACCGGCAAGCCGTTACAGCGGCACTCCGGCCGAATCGTAGTGTTTGCGACGAGCGGCTATGCTTGTCTCGGTCTTCTCCGCGGCACAAGCTTCCGCCTTTTTGGGCGGCCCGGAAGGCTCCGATTTTTTGCCGAATTTTTTGGGGATTATTAACAATTTTGCTTAGAGTACCCGCGGCGTAACCCGGCCAAATTTTCCCGAATTTTAGGTCGCTTCCGGGGACGCGGCTCTTAGGTTTCCGGATGTTTTTCCCCACAAATTTCTGCAGAATTTGGCGGCTTTCCGAAAAAATACCGAGCCAAATGTTGGGGAAATTTAAGGACCTATCCGAGTTAAAATTTCTCGAACATTTCGTGCCAAGTGTCTCCGTATTTTCGCCTCTCTCCGTGTCTCCCAATCTGTCTCCGTGTATCCGTATCTATCTATTTCGTAATCTCTATCTTTTTCTATCTATCTTTATGCATTTTTGTATATCCCAATCTGTTTCTTTTGTGTGTTTACGTCTCTTTAGCTTTATTTGTCTATCTATAATTCTTTATCTCTCGGATTATCTCGGTTTGTTTCTGTTTATTTCTATATATCCATATTTGTCGTTCGTTTCCATTTCTTTGTGTTTTTTTGTGTCCCTCTATTTATTTCCATGTATCCATATCTGTTTATTTGGTAATATCTATTTATATTTATCTTTTTTATATCTTTCTATCTATCTATACTTATTTCTATAAATCGATTCACAAAATTAAGGCATTTCCGTATTACTACGTGCCGCATCTCCCCCTTTTAAGCTCCGCTTACTTCCTTCCGTTTTATTTTTCTTTTTGTGTTTAATTATTTTTTGCTATTGGTTTTACTTGTTTGCCTACTTACTTACCTCTTTCTCTTTTTTTTTTTTTCACCCAATATACACGAACTTAACTTATAATTTTGCATTTCGTAAAAATTAACGATCCGCTAACCGAATGTATACTAAATAATAATATTAACAAAAGATTATGTATTTAAAATAGATAATATATATTTTACAATTTTATAAAAAATCGACTTTTAAAATTATCATATTAAAAATTTTGCTATTATTGCCCATAATTTGCATAATGTAGTTAATTATTGTAATTATATATAATTCCAATATGTTTAAGGAAATATAAACAAAAAAAAACAAAAAAAAATCAGAACAACACAAATAACGGAATAAATCAATTTTCCCGGTGAAGCTTCTTTCACTTCACACTCCAAATGCTCCATACCTTTCTTTCAAGTCGCTGCTTCTGAAGCATTGGTTCTGTGGGCTTCTGCCGGCACTGTGATGGCCGGTGCTGTCACGTCCTCGCCAGAAGTGGCAAGTAAAGCTGTTGAGCGAATCTGCAAAGAGGAGGGTACAAGTCAAAGAGAAACATAATAAAGGGGCAGCCAAAACCACGATAAAACGAAGCCCAGAGTCTCCATTTGCTTGTAGAGATTGGCTCTAGTTGCTCAAAAAGACCCTCTCTATTTGCTCATAGAGACCGCCTCAATTTGCTTGCGCACGAACCCGAAGCCGATACGGTTATGGCCCTCTACCCGTGATTTGTTATTTGCGTGGAAGTTGATGATTTCTTCTGTCGCTGTTAGGCGCCCTAGTGAATCTTCTGGGTGGGAGGCGGTGCGCCTCGCGAGTCGTCAAGGCGTTCAAGTTGTACTTTTTCCTGGCAACCAGTGGAACATGTGTTGCCACGGGGCTGGGATCCCGCGTTTGTGTTTGTCCACAGCACCTGTCAGCAAGGCAATAGAATTGCAAGCTCCAGTTCACTAGTAACATAGAGCCGGCAAAGGTTTCTAAACATGTACCAACTATAGCCCATGTTGTTCTCCTCTCTCGTTTTCTCTTCTGTCTCTCTTCTTCCTTCTCTCTTCTCTCTGCTGTTTTGTTTTTTCTCTCTCTCTCTCTCTCGATCTCTCTCTCTCTCTCTCTCTCTCTCTCTCGCTCTCTCTCTCTCTCTCTCTCTCGCTCTTTCTCGCTCTTTCTCTCTCTCTCTCTCTATCGCTCTTTCTCGCTCTTTCTCGCTCTCTCTCTCTCTCTCTCTCTCGCTCTTTCTCGCTCTCTTTCTCTCGCTCTGTCTCTGTCTCTCTCTCTCTCGCTCTGTCTCTCTCTCTCTCTCTCTCTCTTGCTCGGTCTCTCTCTCTTGCTCTGTCTCTCTCTCTCTCTCTCGCTCTGTCTCTCTGTCTCTCTCGCTCTGTCTCTGTCTCTCTCTCTCGCTCTGTCTCTCTCTCTCTCTCGCTCTCTCTCTCTCTCTCTCGCTCTTTCTCGCTCTCTCTCGCTCTTTCTCGCTCTCTCTCTCTCTCTCTCTCTCCGTCTCTCCCCTTTCTCCGTTCTCCTTTCTCCGCCTTGCAAAAGCGCTGCGCCTGCCACAACTTTTCGGAGTTCGCCCGAATCTACGCTACTCGTCTGACCTTCTCAAAGTTTATCTGCAAGAACTATCTGTTCGAATGCGCTGTCTGATCCATTGAAGCTCTTTATCTGCGCAAGCAAGTTTGCAAGTGTCTCGGTCTATCTTGATTCCAACATGTCACAAACCAACCAGGCTGGCAGCACAACGGCCCCCAGTGCGGCACGATGCTCAAGCCGCACCACTGCGCATGAACCTCATTGGGAGGGCAAGTGGACAAGCTTCTCGGTGAAGTGAAGCAACACGGCTTGTCGACACTATTTGCGCTGCCTGCACAACGATGCACTTGGCTGGGTCGTTCAGGTTGACCTGCGGGGGAAAAGAATGGGTCATGAGCGTTGGCCATCCTGTAGGTTCTAATTGGCAGTATGTCAAAAGCAAGCAAACACGTGGCACAGCCATCAGCTCCAGCTCCCCGGACAAAGGCAAAACACGCAGGTCAATCAGGCATTGGCAAAACCTAGTGCTAACACTGTTGATGCAGAACATCACTTGAATCACACACGGTGTGCCCCAATATGTGCATAGCATGGGTTTGTCGCCAAACATGGAATCTGAACAACGGTTGGCTTCCCTCTGACTTCCCTTTAGAAACACCCAAGCAAGGGATACCCTAAAACATTCCCCTCATCATCAGTTGCGGGCTGACAAGCCTTGTGCCGTTCTTTGGGAGCTATGGCGTCCAGCACCTCGAGGACGGCCTCCAAAGCATGATGCTATTATGTAGCCCAATGCTTGCACACCATGTTCCCTCATCATCTGCTTGCGCCACCTTCGTATACGGAACGGGTCGATTCGACATACCCCTTGTAACATGTACACCGAGGTTTTTAGACGTTGCATTGTGTGAGTTCTGTCACTGAACATAGGATGGGGATCCGGTAGCTCAGCAAGTGCTCTGGCCTCTTTCTTGATAGCGCTGGAGTTGCGTGCCTTAAACCTAGCCCGCCCATGAATTGCAAACGAGACCCCTTCTGACGTGCGTAAGTTCGGTGGACCAGGCGATTCATGACACATCGTGCCAACTTTTTATGATCCCATCGAACGGAATGCTGACAGAGAATGGGTCTGAGCACCTGGCTCCAGCGCCCAAGTGGTTGGCTCAGCTTCTGCTCCCAACTGCAAGGGTAACACCTCCTGGACGGCGCTGTGCGAGGTCTGTCAAAACGCCCTCTTTGCACAGAGATACCACAAAAAGGGATGGTAAATGCTGACGGGTAGATTGTAACCATCCCAATAAACCCGTACTCGGGGGTCGAAGACCTGTGTACTTCTCCCGGCTGTGGACCAGCGTGAGACCCAAAACATAGAAATAGGCCTCTGCCAGTTTTCTGAAGTCAGCCATAGTTGGCTTGCCTCAAGTCAAATCACAAAGGCAGGGGTGCTTCTGCAGTTGCACTCATGCCAAGTTGCAGGTGTGATCAATGGGCAGGACCCTGCAAAGTAACCTGCAAAGAACAGTGACACATGCTATCCAGGCGAGAGACCCACACACGGGCAATAGCCCTACATTTCTTACAAATGACAATCCATCTGCAGCCTCGAGCAGGTGGGAATGCCTGGTGCAGGAAAGCCGCGATTCTTGGCTGCAACTGACGAACGCCCAAAGGCCCCCAATACGCTGGGGATGCACACACGTTTGGGAATTTTGCATACTAAACAAAAACAAGAGTTTCACAAATGCCAACAAACTCTCAAACTCGAGCCTGTGCTCTGGAAGTTGTCCCTCTGCACGGCCAGCACTTGGCTCACCACCTGGCGACTCCAAACATCCGGGTGGGAAACTGAAGGACCAATACTATGAAAAGCCACCGCCACGCCTGCCACTTGGCACTGCAAACATGGCAGGTCATTTCGGAGCTCGAATCCGCAATGAATTCTGGAGCATCTTGGCTTGCAGGCCATCTTTGCTCTGTCAAGCTGCTGCAAATGCCTCGAATTCCATCAGTAGAACTCCTTAGATCATCAAGTGCAGCTGCACACATGGTGAGACCCGACACTTCCACAACTACATGAGCTTCAGGCTTGCCATGTGTCGGGCCTTTGTTGGACCCCCAAACAATGCATCCCTGAAGCATCCTGCCTCGAATGAAAACAACTCTGACTGGGAACGCTATACTCTTCATGCTCAGCAAATAGGGACTCTGGACAGCACACTTCAGCTTTGCCGCATTGTACACCGGCTTCTTCTGGATCCCTTCGTCCTCTCGGAACTCTCGCAGGAATTGCCGAGCCACCTGCATGGGTGGAGAGGCGAGAGGAAACCAATGCAAACTCGAGGATGCTTAAAGAGAACAAGACTATGAACCAGCTGCCGGCACCTCCGTCTGACAGTGGATCCGGCTCTGCTCCGATGAATTGCTTCAAATCAAAATTATGCTATACCCAACGCATGATTCAACCCAGTCCCAAATTGATGTCAATACTAAGAACTGCTAACATTATAGACCACAACAGCAAAAGCGGAGGTTTGCACGAGTGCAAAATCTAATCTCGCAGGGTCTAAGGAAACATTGGCCGTGTCTCAAAATCAAAACGGGGAACCTTTGACTTGAGTCTCCTCCCCCAAACGATCCAACTCAGTGCTCCCGGCCTCTACTGCTCCCTTCCAGCGGGCTTCGCCCTCGCGTTGGTTTACCATCTTTCGGAGCCCCTGGAAGGTATTCGCCTCTCGCGCCTCGGAAGATGTCCGAGAACGAACAAATCTGCGAATCACTCAAAACTGAAAAACTGAGAGGATTCTGAAGGGGAGCTCGCAAACGGAGTCTTTGCCGGCTTTGTTTGACCGCAAATGAAATCTTTCAAAGCGGTTTCGTCGGACTGCAACCGAAACCGGCTTCGACGGCCCGCGTCATGATTCTGACACGAGACAATCCATGGCCTTCACCAATCAACGGCGGCCAGCCAAAACATCAAGTGCCTGGGTCTTTGATTTTGCCCTCGGCATGCCGCCCTGAAGGCCCCTGCTATTCTTACATACATCATGGAATCGCTGAGACATTTGGGGTAAGCACACACAAGCAGGGACTGGAAAATGCAGGCACAGGGGAAGAAGATTAGTCACTGCACACCTTCCTCCAATAGTCAAACACAATTCCTATCCGTTGCTCGGACTCTGTGAGCATCGAAACCAGCCAGGCCTCTGCTAGCGCCTTGGGATTTTGACGAGAAATACCTCAGGCTTTGTCGCAGGAGATGGCGCCAGAAACTCCTTAAAGCCATCCAAGGCACTCCAAAGCAGCTGGATGACGGACTTTGCTACATCAGGCCTGGAGCTCAGCTGTTCGATGATCCTTTGCCAAGCCTCCTTGCCTTTCCGGGTGTTTGTCCAGCACCAGCTGCCCCAAAGACATGGCTTGATGCTCGGAGTCGTTGAGAAAGGACCTTCAGCGCTTTTGTGACAAGGGCGCTTTGGTACAGTTCACTTGGACCGCGGCGCCATGGCAGGGTTGCCTAAGCAGATACGCAGAGACCAAAAAGCAATGCTTGATTTGCTAGTGACAAAGCGGGCTTCGGCCAGGTGACGCAGGGTGAGATTCGCCAACAGGCCAAAACCCTGCTCGCACACGACAGGCGTTGCTATGTGATGGCGGACAGCTTGGACATAGCCCTTCGTCTCGCAGGACCTAAGAACATGAAGCACATCCATATAGAGAGAACATGTTTCGCCACGCTGCCGAACTGATTTGACATCTGCATAGGAGAATCTGTTCCACATCGGCAACTGTTTGGCACATCCCTGGATGTCAGACCTCCCTTTCTGCCTTGTAGCTTTCTGTCGTTTTCTGCTCCACCTTCAGCCCCTCGGCCCCGGGCAGGGACAGCTCATCCCTGACGTCTTCGCAAAGAGCGAAGGCCCGCAGCACCCCCAAAGCCGCCCGCGCCAACCGGGGCTCCGAAGAGGCCAAACCGTCCCGGACCAATGGCAGCAGCTTGCTGCTGGGCTTGGCCAACTCTTGGATCCGCTCCTGGTGATCTGGCTCAAAACAAAAGCACACATATACGTGGAACAACTGCGAGGAACTTTGGATGGGTCTACGGTCCTACGTACATACCCTCTTTTTTGACGTTGTACATGGGGTAAATAAGGTTTGAACATGGGCCATCCAAGGTACATGCCTCAAACACCAGTCGCTTTTAGCGGCTTGTTGGCAGGCAATGTCTGTTTGGGGTAGAGGCTTAGAATGCTTCATGCCGACCGATGATATTTTCAACAGGGAGGCCCTCTAAGTTTTTCAAACAATCATGGAATCGGAAGTGAACTGGATCGTACTCCATCGTGTCCGCTGTCCTGAGTCTTGGAAAGAGGGTAGACTTTGTTGAAACAAATGATAGAATAACCAAACATGGTGGCTTGAGGGAACCTAAAAGGAACGCAACCGTTTGGGGGATTACGTTCTATGTATAAGCTTTGAGACACACCAACTCTCCAGTACATGGACTGCTGCAACGTCGCCCAAGTCTGCGCTTTGCACAAACAAACCCGTTGTACTGCGCTGTACACATTTGCTCTAACAATACTTTGGAAACTGTCACAGTATCCTCACACAGAATGCTCACCCCAGTACTAGTAAGGCCTTGCCTGTCCAGTATTTCATTAGTCTCTACAAGCATTACAGTATGTGTTGCGGATCAATGTTAGGGTGTCGTCAAGGAGCGTGCGTTTGCTCGTCTTTGCGGTTGTCCTGGGATGTCTTTGGGGGGTGTCTTTGGGGATGTCTTTGCGAATGTCTCGGGTGATGTCTTTGGGGATGAGTTTCAGGCTGTCTTCCAAGAATTCCTCGCAGATGTCTTTGGGGATGTCCTTGATGATGTGTTTGGAATTCCTTTCGGGGTTGGACATGTCTGCATTCGGGTTTGTGGCCTCGATCAAGTTTTGAGAGGGGGTTGGTGCAATGCCATGTGTCTTGGTCGTGGCGACCCCTCGGGGAAGATCGCGGGGGTGGCAATGACTCAATCTAATGTGTGCATGGGCATTCTTGTTGTGGGGGTGGAGGGGCGGGGGAAAGGGGGGGAGGCGATGAATCAGTGTAACGCACGAGCATCTTTTGCTGGGGGGGGTTGGTGAAGGGGGGGCAATCAATCTAATGGCGTGGGGCTCGCAATGCGCAAGGTTCAATGGATCCATTGGCCGCTGCTAGCGGACCGTTTTTCTTTGCGCTCGCGGACCTCGCCGCAGCTGACACGCTTGAGAATGCGACTGGCTGCGTGTCTGAAACAAACCAAAAAGGGGTTGCTGATGGTTGTTGGTTTTGACATGGGTGGATCTCCAACTCGAAATTTCCCTTTCACATAACCAAAAGGGCAAGGCATCAAACGGCACCTTGTTTGCCCAGGAGGGCATGCACGGGAACATTGAAGTTCATTTTTTGGGGTTCATATTTTAGGCAATAACTGTTTGTCAGTTGCTCACATCAGGCCCCTCATGGAGTCTCCTGCCCCCGCGCGATCTCCCGCAGCAGTAGCAGAACCTGCTCCGTCAGCTTCGCAGGGTATTTCTGCCTCGGTCCAAAATTCTCAGATGATTTCCGCTACCCCAAATCCACTCTTCCAGAGGTTTGATGGAATATCAACCAATACGTATATGGATATATTATTGCCACTGTATACGTTTCCCGCCCCGAAAATGATGGTTTGGGGCTTTGGACATCAGCTTAGAAAATGACCAGTCTGGGCACCAGTGGGCTGCGCGTGTGGGGTGAAGACTTTGTCATCTTGCCTCACATACACACCCAGCCCCCCCGTGCTGTTGACATGAAAGGGCTGGCGTTGATGGCTTGGCTTTGGAACTCCCAGCAAACGTTTGGGAAGTGTCAGGATTCTCCAAGAAAGCTTCTGAAACCTCTGGTTGCGCCAACCAGTTTATGGGGTCCAGTACCCGGCAAACCCCGCAATATCAAGAATGAACGCCACGTGCGCGGCGGGGGCAGTCCGCGTGATTTCTTCGTTGAGGGCCAACCAAACAACAGTACGCCAACCTTGTCGCAAAATTGATCCACACAACCACAGGTGAGCGCGGGGCGTCTGGGCATGGAGGAAAGCGCGGGCTCTGGTCTTGCTTGCGTGCGGTCTACTCCAGACAGCCCGCATACCGTGTGAGCTGGGTGCTCATGGGCGCCATCGACAAATCCATGTTTCAGAACTTGGCGCGTCAGGCATCGCAGCTCGACGCTCAGTGGTGGCGGAGGATCTCTGCTAGCGAGTGCTTTGTGGTCCGTGACAAGCTGCACATGTTGCACACCCAAACGCTCACAAGTATGCAAGGAAACAACAGCAGCCACTAGCTCGGCGGCATTTACCGTAGATTCGATGGCAGGCATGGTCTTGCCGAAGGTTGTCAGTGTGCCGCGAGGCCGTCGAACGCTGACGGCCCAAGCAGAGCGGCGTTTTTTCTGGCTTGCTCGGTCACTGCCATCAGTGGCAGTGACAAGGTTGCTTGGCAAAATGTCTGAGAAAAGGTCAATTTAATCCACTGAAGGAGGACTTGCGCCGTCCAAAACTCTGCGTTTGGCCGCTCAGCCAACGAAATCCAACCATTTGCAAATAGGCAGCGCGAGCCCTCTGCTTCACGCCCACGCACGCTCAAGCCCCCGCTGATCCCCTACGAATGCTTGCAAAGGAACCACATCAGATCCGGCCACACTGATGTCATGGCGCACACTGCGGGCTCGCCATGCGTACGGACCATGTGTTCTAAAGAAGCCTGTGACGTCAGGCTCAAGTGCAGTGCTTGTATTGATATACAAAGAGGCTGG